TCGTACGTGCGGACTGACTGACTGACGGACTGACGGACTGACGGACAGACGGACGGAGGGCTTCACTATATCCCTTACGAACTTCGTTCGTTGGGATAATTAGGCTGACCTAAATTTGAATCCAAAGACTCAATTTGAAAAATGACCTTTTTTTACCTTTCGAAGGTCATTGAAGGTCAACTGAAGGTCAAATGTTAAATCTGAGGTCAGATTTGGACTCCTAGGAACTTGTAGATGATTTTTAAAAAAAAAATTGGTCAGATTGAAGCAAGTTGAAAAATGACCTTTTTTGACCATTTTTGACGTCAAATATCTCAAAAATGGTAAAAATTTAATGCTGACATATTGTAAACAATTTGTAGAGAATACTAAAAAGTAGTTTCAGTTTAATTCATCGCAAGAAATAATGAAGTATAAGGACAAAGTTGAGAAACTTGAAAAAAATTTAGATTTGACCTAGATTTTGACCTTTGACCTAATTTGATAAACGTGACCCTTGACCTTGAAAATCTTACTGCTTTAGAGCTCAGTAGGTCTTTTATGATTAGGCTAACCCTAAATTTGAATCCAAACACTTAATTTGAAAAATCAACTTTTCTGACCTTTCGAAGGTCACTGAAGGTCAACTAAAGGTAAAATGTCAAATCTGAGGTTAAATATGAACTCCTGAGAAGTTGTAGATGATTTTAAAAAAAAAGTTGGGTGAATTTGAAGCAAGTTAAAATTTGACCTTATAAACTTTGAAAAATTGACCTTTTTCAGTTTTTGAGCTCTTATATCTCAAAACTGGGACAAGATTTTAATATATAGTCAATGGCTAATATGTGTAGAACCCTTAGAGGAATGTAAATCTTGACTTTCAATTAAAAATATTAATTTGTAGTCTTGAACTATGAGATACTTAGATAGCACAGTTTGTGACCTAATTTGATGACCTTGACCTTTGACCTTGAAATGTTTACTTTTTTAGACCTCAGTAGGCTTTTTGTAATTAGACTGAACTAAATTTGAATCCAAAGACTCAATTTGAAAAATCAACTTTTGTGACCTTTCGAAGGTCACTGAAGGTCAACTAAAGGTCAAAGGTCAAATCTGAAGTCAGATTTGGACTCCTGGGAACTTGTAGATGATTTTAAAAAAAAAATTTGGTCAGATTAAAGCAAGTTGAAAAATGACCTCTTTTGACCGTTTTTTGACGTCAAATATCTCAAAAACGGTAAAAATTTAATGCTGACATATAGTGAACAATTTGTAGAGAATACTTAAATGTAGTTTCAGTTTAATTCATCGCAAGAAATAATGAAGTATAATGACAAACTTGAGAAACTTGAAAAAAAACTTAGATTTGACCTAGATTTTGACCTTTGACCTTGACCTAGATATGAAATATTTTCCCATCAAGATCAAACCAGGTATCTAGTAGGAGCATATAGTAGAAAGTTGAAAGCTAGTTGAAAGTAGGAGAAAACTGCTTTGATAGAATAATAATAAGAAGAAGAATAACTAGACTTTTGAAGATTGCAAGCAATCTCACGGAGGCCCTCTTAGGCATTTTTGACAATTTGAAGGTCAACTAAAGGACAAATATCAAATCTGAGGTCAGATGTGAACTCTTGAGAGCTTGTAGATGATTTTCAAAAAAAGATTTTGTCAATTTGAAGCGAGTTTAAATTTGACCTTGAAAAATTTCGAAATTGACCTTTTTTCAAATTTTTGAACTCTTATATCTCAAACTGGGACTAAATTCTATTAGATAGTCAATTGCTTATATGTGTAGAACCCTTAGAGGGATGTGTATATTTCGACTTCGGGTTAAAAATATTGGTTTGTAGTCTCGATTTTTGCGAAACTTAAAAAGCACAGTTTGTGACCTAATTTCATGATCTTGACCTTTGACCTTGAAAAGTTTTACCCTTTTAGACCTCAGTAGGTCTTTTTTAATCAGGCTGACCTAAATTTGAATCCAAAGACTCAATTTGAAAAATCAACTTTTCTTACCTTTCGAAGGTCATTGAAGGTCAACTAAAGGTCAAAGGTCAAATATGATATAGGATTCGGACTCCCAGGAATTTGTAGATGATTTTTAAAAAAAATTTGGTCAGATTGAAGCAAGTTGAAAAATTACCTTTTTTGACCGTTTTTCGACGTCAAATATCTCAAAAACGGTAAAAATTTAATGCTGACATCTAGTGAACAATTTGTAGAAAATACTAAAATGTAGTTTCAGTTTAATTCATCGCAAGAAATAATGAAGTATAAGGACAACGTTGAGAAACTTTAAAAAAATTTAGATTTGACCTAAATTTTGACCTTTGACCTAATTTGATAACCGTGACCCTTGACCTTGAAAATATTACTGTTTAAAAGCTCAGTAGGTCTTTTATGCTTAGGCTAACCCTAAATTTGAATCCAAAAACTAGATTTGAAAATTCAACTTCTCTGACCTTTCGAAGGTCACTGAAGGTCAACTAAAGGTCAAATGTCAAATCTGTGGTTAAATATGAACTCCTGAGAAGTTGTAGATGATTTTCAAAAAAAATTGGGTGAATTTGAAGCAAGTTAAAATTTGACCTTATAAACTCTGAAAAATTGACCTTTTTCAGTTTTTGAGCTCTTATATCTGAAAATTGGGACAAAATTTTAATAAATAGTCAATTGCTAATATGTGTAGAACCCTTAGAGGAATGTATATCTTGACTTTCAATTAAAAATATTGATTTGTAGTCTTGAACTATGAGAAACTTAGATAGCACAGTTTGTGACCTAATTTGATGACCTTGACCTTTGACCTTGAAATTTTTACTTTTTTAGACCTCAGTAGGCAATTTGTAATTAGACTGACTTAAATTTGAATCCAAAGACTCAATTTGAAAAATCAACTTTTCTGACCTTTCAAAGGTCACTGAAGGTCAACTAAAGGTCAAAGGTCAAATCTGAGGTCAGATTCGGACTCCTGGGAACTTGTAGATGATTTTTAAAAAAAAATTTGGTCAGATTGAAGCAAGTTGAAAAATGACCTTTTTTGACCGTTTTTTGACGTCAAATATCCCAAAAACGGTAAAAATTTAATGCTGACATATAGTGAACAATTTGTAGAGAATACTTAAATGTAGTTTCAGTTTAATTCATCGCAAGAAATAATGAAGTATAAGGACAAACTTGAGAAACTTGAAAAAAAACTTAGATTTGACCTAGATTTTGACCTTTGACCTTGACCTAGATATGAAATATTTTCCCATCAAGATGAAACCAGGTATCTAGTAGGAGCATATAGTAGAAAGTTGAAAGCTAGTAGGAAGTAGAAGAAAAATGCTTTGAAAGAATAATAATAAGAAGAATAAATAAATAAATAAAGAAAAGCTACAAAAGCTATAGGAGGCCCTTTCAGGAGGGCCTCCTAATAATAATAAGAATAAAGAAGAATAAAGAAAAGCTACAAAAGCTATAGGAGGCCCTTTCAGTAGGGCCTCCTAATAATCATAAACTCCGACTAAGTTTGCTCAACAACAAAAAACAGGCGTAACTATTTACACAATTCCACATACGAGTATTTGGTGTTGCATAACACAAAGCCGCATTGAACTATCTCTCTCAAGTTTGAAATTCATAGTTTTTTCTACACCATCCAGTTTGATTGTGCATGCTTAGTTATTGCTTATTTTTCTTTGAAGGTACTTTCTTGCCATACTCAGTATTATAAAAATACTTGTAAATAGAATGTTCATAATTCGAGACATATTTCAAGACATTCAAACAGATTGTCAGAAGGAAGTTAAATCAAAGTTCAAATTCCGTGAGTAATCTGTACACTGTACAAAAACATGAACAATATTATGCAGTTATATGTTTTTAGAATAAACTCTTTACGTTCTTCAAACAACTAATCCTATCCATTTTTCTTTCCAGAGCTCAAAGTCATTATAAGTAAGTATGACTTATGGAAAGTAGTGTATTTAGTTCTTATGATCAAACATTTTAAGGAAACTATCACATTGATATAATTAAGATATCTGATTATTGAAACAAATAAAAACTGGTCAATAAACAAACAAAAAAAACATCACCGTGTCTACTAAATCACGAAGCCCAATAAAAGTTTTGAAAACACGTTTAATTATATAAGTATATGCAATCGGACATGATATGTTGTTTCGTTATATAAGTTAGTAGATTATAAGGATCCTGAAGGCAGTATATGTTCCTCCTAACGCTATATTTTGCAATCTTGATTCATAAGGTTTCAGTTGTTCATACCTCTTGTCTCTAGACCCAGTGTAGAGCGACGATGACATTTTGTTGCTGAAGAAAAACTAAAATTGAATATGCAGTTTGGCCTATACTTCAAATTGAAGTATAGGACAATATCTGAAGGATATGAACATTTGATAAGACTGATGAGACAAAACTCTCTGCTTGAACCTAAATTTCACCTGATAGGTACACCATGAATGCTTAAGGGGCCAAGTTCTTTTTGGCTCACACAGTGAGCCTATGGGATCGACCAGGCGTCCGTCCGTCCGTTGGTCCGTCCGTCAGTCCGTCAACATTGGCCGCACAAATTAAAACTGCTATTCGGATTGAGTCATATCCACATTCGTTTTATGCATATCCAGAATGCCTATTTGACCTATCATCGCCATTTCCCAAGTTCACCCGGTTTTGAGAAATTGCTGCTTTGACGTCAATGAAAATCAGGATAACATTCCTCTGAAGGTTCTACACTGTGTGAGCACAGGACCGTGGGTCCTTTATTCTGTTTTGTTTTGTATATCTGATGAATGATTTATTTATAAATTATGTAACAAAGGGGAAGATCAAAAACCTTCACATGACACATTAGGACAGGATATCTTTGAGCACAACTAGATATAAAAACCAATATCCCAAACTACGATATAATACACAGAGAAATTCAACACACCTCCCTTGTATATATATAAACACACATGGCACGATATCGGTGCTATAAAACTATATTCGATTATATCAAAGCTGTCCATGTTTACAGAGGAATATGGAGCTTGGAGAAGTCCTATCACCAGCAAGATGGTCAACGATGCGAAAACAATAATTAATGCCTAGGTCACATAGCCGCCGGGCGCCGGCCGATGAGTAGTCATCGGCCGATTTCTAAATCGACCGGGCGCCGGTGACTTTTCACCGATGTCTTGATCTAATCGTGAGTATGGTCACATTAGTACAGGCATCGTACGGCGCCCGCAATCAATTGAATCTGAAAGACATCGCACGGGTATCGCAAGGCTATCTGCCGATGGCCGTACGGCACCCGCAAGGACATCGGTCGATCTACAGGCCTCTAGATTTATACTTAATTCTTGTATGACCCAGTATGACCGTTCCACATGGCGTGAATGCAAGATTCGAAAACGAAATACTTCGATAGACAGGATTTCCAGGATAATAATGTTTTCATGCAATAAAATCAGAAAAAGCAGATCCTCTTTTCGAGTAAATATGTTTAATATTTAGAAAAAATGCTGACATGGGGTACCTATTCATAATTTTTCAAATTGTTTGATTGATATTTTGCTATCATGGGTACTCCAATTGAAAGAAAACACATTGTTTTAATAAAATACTGTATTTATGCCCAGAAAGTACTCATGGTGAAAGTTATGACCGTCTAAAATCACTTGCCATACTGCACGTGGTCTTTTCATCAAAGTGCACACTGACCTTAATTCATTTTTAGATCTTTTATATAAACAAATACTATGTCTTCCTGTCCATCCGATACTATTAGCAAAATTCCATATTTCTGCATCTTTCTTTTGTCTGTTCTCGTAAGGAGAATTTGTTTGGTCATAAAAGAAATTGGCAATTTTTTCTTCTATTTCAAGTGGAGTACCCTCTTCCCTAGACACATCTTTATCTCCATCATCCGCCAGCTCACTAGCATTGTTATTGTCTTTTTCCACCTGTCTTCCCAAGGCCTTCCTCATATATGGCCCATTGACCCTATCCCCTCTATCCTTAGCCATTGGCATATTAACTGTAATTATTGAGCCAGTGAACTTCGTATTAAAATTGTGACCCTTCAAAATACTGTACTCACAAAATCAGTCAGAAGATTTTTAAAATAAATGATTTGTAATGGTATATGCATGAGTGAATATACGTATAAAAATGTATCACTCTATTCAATGTGTATGACAGACATACACGATTGATGTCAATATAAGAACGACTAGATCAACCCACCCACCTAGCCATTCAAATGTGTGTCATTGTTTTACAATAAGCCTAATCATTCCATTTATGTTTTATAAAAAATCTCTGACAGTGTGTAGTAATTATAATTCCTTACCTCATTATTTTTAGAACCTTTATATCACTTTATAAGTAATCATTATTAAGATTTATCAAACAAATCAGCACGCAAAATCCCAAGATGACCGTGCGATGCCACCGGGCGCCGTAAGATAATCGTACGATGACCGGACGGGACACGGCCGGGTAGGTACCGATGAGTTTGGTTGAGAAAAAATCGCCAAGACATCGGCAACTTTTATCTCCGCGATAAAACTCTGCCGGCGCCCGTACGATGTCTAAAAATCGGCCGATGAGTGGCGATCATCGCCCGGCGCCCGTACGATGCCCGGGCTCGCCGGCCGATTTTGAACAAGATACTCATCGGCCGGGCGCCGTAATGAAAATTGGAGCCTATGTGACCAAGGCATTAGGAAGTAGTTTACGATCCTGCCATACCAGGTTATTATCATTATTATATCAAAATGGCACAATTTAGGGTTATAAAAGTAGCTGTCGCTGTAATTCTATTTCCAAAACAACAAACCATAAATAATTAATATTTTCAAGGTTAATCACTGAGATATGAAAAATTATGATAAATCTTGTTCTTTGCATTATAACTCATGGCTCAAAAGGCGCTCAAAGAAGGCGCTTGACTTATTTCTCTCACAACGAAATAGATATAAGTATTACAAACCAATTGTAACGTTCAATCTGTATTAACTTTGTGGTTCTAACGTTGTAGGTAGAATATATTGGTCAGAACAGAGATTTAAAGAAGAAGGACGAATTGTAATATGTTCCAATGATAAAGGCGATCCAAAAGAGACATGCTATACAGATACGAAGTATAGCGCCAGATCAAGTGTTAATGGATATGGCGGGGGAGCTCTGCTCGTTTATAACTCTACAATATATTTTGTCAACAGCAGAGATCAGAAAATCTATAGCCAAATGGTACCAGATGGTAAGGCAGAGGTGTTAGTCAACTCATCCAAAATATATCATGCTGATGGAAGTATTTCACCTGAGGTATGGCGATTGTTAAAGGCCCCATATAAAGTTTAACTCATTTCGACTGATATCGTATTCTTTACCAATTTAATCATAAAAGTGTGATATGTGAAACCATTTTGGTTTTTGAAGGACTTTTTGTTCGAAAAAATCGTTATTTTATCTAGAACTAAATGACAATTCGTTATTGGAATAACGTCTCCTTTGTTCAATCTTATATGAGGTTTGCATGTGCAATTTAAAGATATAAAGCATTGTAAAATATCTACCTTATTACAAGGATACAACTTCACATGAGTCAGTTAGGTCGGACATCTGGTATACCCCACCCCCCCCCCAAAAAAAAAACTTGGTATATAAAAATAGGTAGATATACCTCTTTATTATAGCTGAACCTGATCTTCTATGTTCGTGAGGACAACAGTGTTAAACCTGTAATAACCACAATTTCAAAAGTGAACATTAACACTGGAGAGGAAACTGTGATTGTAAGTTGATACATATGTACATATACAAGGTGTCAACTAAATATGTTCCCCCTCCCCTTAATTTTAAATTATAAACTTTTGTGCATCAAAAGTGCATCTAGTTGAGCCAGTCATCTGAAACTTCTTGTGGAGTTGCTATATGAAGCCTAATGTTGATATGCTATAGAACAATTTAGTTACCATACAGACAGAAAAGATGTGCAGCATTAAAATAAATGGATGTTAAAGCTGAGGGGAGCACATATTATTTGACAACCTGTTATGTATTTAATGTTTAATGCTACCATATTCATTTTTGATAATGTCTTAGTAATATATTGCGTGTTATATACTGTTGAAATTCCTTAACGATGATTCTGAAATTATTTTATATTTTATCTTTCAGTTCTTATTTAAAATCTTATATTAAAATTCTAAATAGGTAAAATTAATCTTCAGATCAGTGGTTCAGACTTCTACAGTTCTCCCCGAGTTTCGCATGATGGAAAGAAGCTCGCCTGGGTCCAATGGAATTTCCCTAACATGGTATTAAAGATTACTTTTTATATGTTCTACAACTTTTTGGGAGTTCAACTTTATTCTAACTGCACATCTGTTAATAGAAGGGTTCATGATGATTTATCGATCATAGTAATTTCACTGTTCTACACTAAACGCTCAAAGTTATCGGCGATATAAAGTCAGCACGCATCCGTTTTCGCAAAAACTGATTTCAGTTTCAGAGCACTTTTCGGGTAAGTGGTACGAATTGCAAATGACACCCCAAATGACACCCCAAGTGTTTATCAGTTTGCCGCGGAATACGATTTTGTCAATAAAAATAGCCATGGCTTCAAATATGGGTTATTCACTCCTAAACTGAGCCAGCAATCGCATATTTTGAGGTTTTCTTTATCAATTTTTCGAATGGTAAACTTGTAGTATGTATTTCAATCAATTTCCTGTATTTGTAATGAATAATATTGCAGTGTTTTTCCACTAGAATTATTTTTTAAGAAGTTCAATTGATTAATTTTTTTATTTGGTATCACGGCACATCAAAATGATGGTCAGATGACCTCAGAAAGTCCGCGAAAATAAGAACATTCAGAAGTTGACAGTTTCGTTCTCATAACTCGTGTTCTGAGGAAATATCACTAGTTTTAATTTGTACTTAAAATAACAAAATAGTAGTTGTATGTGCAAAGTACATCTTATTAGAGATTCTAACTGTCGTTTTATTACAACTTAGATAATATATTCATGTGTATATATTGTGAATAGGGCCAATTGATCAGATCATTGTATTTCAGCCTTGGGACAACAGCACTCTTTGTTTGGCGAACCTTACTGTAGATGGCAGTGTTGTAGAGGGTTCGATTGTAAAAGTAAGCAGATATTTATTTTTCAAAAACCTGAATTTGCAATTTCTGCTTCTAGAATCTCATTAAATAAATCAAAAATGCATCTAAAGTATTAATGTATTTTCCATGCGTACAATGTACGTAGTGATTTAATTGCTTGTTTTCTAGGTTGACACAGACGAATCTTTTATCTTACAGCTAAGTGTGTTTTGATGTCATGCATTCTATAGTTTGCACTGTTATGTCATAATAAAAATAGAATATGAGGTCGCAGAACATGGTGTACTACTTTCTTGATCACGTGGGCACTATGGGCCATTTTTGAGCCAAAAGTATCAAAAGTGGGTTATTTAAACTTTAAAATATGTTGGGATAAACAAGGAGAGATACACTCCCCTCCATAAGTTTGGCAACCTTTTTCCCCCATTGAACTACGTGTTAAAGCCTCTTTACCTTTGAATTTTTATTTACTTAACCTGCGATGAAAATACTTATACTATTGATGGAAACGTAATTTGACTTTAATTCCAATACCTCCAAATTTTCTCAATTTTTTTCCTCAATTACAATAAGTCGAAAATTGATGATGAATTTGATGAATTTTTGAAAATCGACATTCCCATGTTAACCAATGGGAAATGGTAGGTTTGCCGCAAGTCATATGACAGAATATCCATCCATCCGAGTCCTTGCAAAAAATACGAGTTAGGCAGGTAATTGAATTTGCGAACTTTATTTAACAAAAAATTGATATGTTTCTTCAGGTTCAACAAAGTTATAGGGCTTTAAAGTCAAAATTGTTTTTCAAAAAAACTCTCCCATTGAAATAACACAGGAGGCGAAAAATAATTTTCAAAAATGACTTTGTAGCGCTGTAACTTTAATATTCATCAAATAAACTAAACACTTAGTGTTCAAAAAAGTTAGACAATTCAATTTTCTATATGAAAATATTTTTTGCTGAATCTTTTACTGAAAAGATATCCTGATTTCTGATTTGCCCTGAACCCTCCATTTCCCATTGGATTACATGAGAATGACGATTTTCAAAAATTCATCAAATTTATCATCAATTTTCGACCTATTGTAATTGAGGAAAAAAATTAAGAAAATTTGGAGGTATTGGAAATAAAGTCAAGTTACGTTTCCATCAATATCATAAGTTATTTCATCGCCGGTTAAGTAAATAAAAATTCAAACGTAAAGAGGCTTTAACACGTAGTTCAATGGAGAAAAAAGGTTGCCAAACTTATGGAGGGGAGTGTATATTGAAAGAGATTCACTTAGCATTTAGTTAAACACAATGCCCATAATTATACCATTGGTCTAATTGGAAAAATAATTGATTAACAGACATGACTGATATTGGGTGGTTGAGGCAAAATATGAACAATATTCATAAGTAACAATTTTTAGAACTAACGGTGCAGAACTTTTGGATTTGAATAACGAATAAATACTATTAATTGATATGGTCATCCGAAATTAGTATGAGACATATTTGCCGTACCTGTAACTGCACCATATGTAATTTCTCCGTTTAGCATTTGTCACCATAATAATTATTTTGAAAGACGCCATGTTCTGAGCCGGTGTAAAAATATGATATTATGCGGAATGAAACTTAACTCCAAGAATTGATGCTAATATTTTCTTTAATCCAATAATGCAATTCTACTCAAGGTATAAGATACAACTTGTAATGGTACAATACCGTCATTTCGAAGGGCAATACTGCCCGCAGTTACCACCGTTAATGACCAGGGCTGAAATAGCAAGAAAATCTTTCGGACTGAACGATCACACCAAACTAGTTCTCACTACGTTCTCGAAAACGGGCTTCAACTGTGTACGAACGGACTCACTGGACCTACTAAGAACCGTTTGGGATCTATTTACAAACCTCATCGAACGTACTCGAACGGGTAGGTCCTCTAGAACTTAGATAGTGCTCAAAATGTTCTCGTGGTCGTCACGTTCTAAAATTAGAACGAGTGACAACGTACTAACGCCGAGCTGGACGTACTACGAACGGGACCGTCGTACTTCAATCCTACTAGGGACGTTTTAACAACGAGTTGAACTGTCTGAGGACGTGTTGAGAACGAGGTAGAACTAAATGCAAACGGGTTTAAACTGATTAAGAACGTATTTAACACTGCTTATGAACGAGTTAGCAAAAATATAGCTATCACACCAAACAAGTTGCCTTTGCGTTCTTCAAAACTGGTTTTAAACTGTGTGCGAACGGAATGAACGTAGCTGCAACTTTCTAAGGTCTATTTACGAACTTTATGAACGTTCTCAGACGGGAATGTGATTTTAGAATTTTGAATCGATTCAAAATTCTATTGCGACCATACCGTTCTGTTATCAGGTCATGATGACCTTCTAGACTAAGGGACGCGTTCTACGACGTTGCACACCGACGTGGTGCGACGTGAACGAACTGCGAACGAGATGGACGTATTGAAGACTGTTTAAGAACGAAGAAGCTAATTATTTCAGACCGACAGATTGAGCCCGTTTTACGACGTTTTCGTAGGACTGGCAAGAACGGGTAAGAACTAGTTTGGTGTGATAGGGGGGTAATTTCCCGGGGAAAATTGCCGGTCGTTAATAGACTAGATGCGAATAGAAATAATCTTGATTTACGTCATTAAATATTCAAAATTCAGTCAAATTTAAAATCTACATATTTGAAATCTACAGGTAAAAGTACATCTAGAAAAATGGTTTCGAAAATTGTTTATGAACTTTAATTTATCAATTTATTTTTTTTTGAAAATGTGACTTCTAGCTCGGGTTGATTCCTCATAGACCCCATGTTACAAAATCACAAAAAGTGAAATATCTTTTCTCGTATTGGCCAGATAACATTTTCTTTTACTGGATTTTATAATTTTTTTATTTCAAAGAATAAGCATGTCAAAGCAATTGCAAAAAACAATTACGGTACAGTTACATGATAAACATACTTTGCATACTATTAGATACATACGGGTAATATAAAAATTTAACCACTAAAACAGATGTAATTTACGTTAAAGGGAACTTTCTACTATACCCACTGCACCATGTTATCTGACCCGAACGAGCCACCTGGTGGCGAAACTGGTAACTACCCACTCGCATCTGCGTTATTGCATTATTGACCTGCAATGTGGACAACCAATATGACGTCACGTATTACTCAGGTCGATATAGTAAAATGAATGCCTTCTAAAATAGCACTAAAACCCTTAGAACTGGCAAGGTGGTAATAATGCCGGTGTGAAAGAAATTATGGTCCCCCGGGGATTATGGTCCCCCTTTTAAAGGCCCTTTCTGGCCCTGATTGTGTATAAGATAATAAGGGAGAGAGCACAAAGAGGTCACCATATAAATCAATGGAGAGTAGGACCATAAATTAATAGGACCTCCTACCCTTTTACACCGGTTATTCCATTCTCTATGTTGTGTTATATTATTTACCAATGCTTATAATTCATGAGACAAGTTATTATCCATCCATTGTCATATTTTTTAAACTTTCAAGCATTCAATAATTTTTAATATACTGATTTTAAATGTGGTCGATCATACACCCATATAGGTGTCATGGGCACAATTTTGTATAAATATAGTATTATTTTATTGAAATAAATAAAGTACAATAATACAACATGTTTTTTTAAATAAGGTTTCAACCGGAGGAGCTGAAAGTGTCATGGAACCAAAGTGGAGTCCTAAAAATGAACTTTATTATATCTCGGACAAGACTAATTGGTGGAACCTGTATCGGGTTCTTGAAGATGGAACTTCAAAAATAGTTATAGAAAGGGATGAAGAAATAGGCCTTCCGCCATGGCAAATGCATTTGGATTATTACAATTTCTACGACCGAAAAATCATCACAACCTTTAACAGGGTACAATAAGAATTTTACTTCACAATTACAATATGAATCATTCATAGGTCGTCTCATAAATGAAGATTTTCATGTTTTTGAAATTTATAAATTCATTCTCATTAAAAATCAGATTCACTAAATAATATACTACCAAAGAGTATTGTTGTTTTGGTTTCTTGAATACTTGATAGAGTTATTGTGTTTTATAAATGATGCGATTGTTCATTTTAGTACCTACAGCTGATAGACATGGACACCGGGGTTGTACAAAAGATACATACAGGGTATCGCAGTCATTTCAGAATACAGACTTCCTCCTTGGGTGACATTTATGTAAGAGCTGAACACCAAACTCAACCAGAAGCACTCCTCAGGATCAATATTATCACGTTGCAGGTAAGTAGGACAGATTATAAACAAAAGCAAGGCTGGTATTTTTCTGTCACTAAACTTTTGGTTTTGCTATTCGTTTAAAGAAGCAAAGGAAGGACATAGTGAACATAGGTATGCACGTTTCCCTGAAAATAGAGATTTAAATCCTCGATTATGAATATTTTGAGACACTATGAACATGTAATGGTGTAAATGACCCGTATGATGCCGTGGTCACATTTGCTCAGATTTTTACTACGGCGCCCGGCCGATTGGGTATTTGTTTAAAAAATGTATTCAATTTTGAACAAAATACTCATCCGCCGGGCGCCGGTGCTATTAATCGAAACAAATATGACCACGGCATTAGTGATAAGTGATAAGCAATTTTTCAAAAATGTCTCTATTTACATGGACCTAACTAGACGTACAGTATTGTTGTCATTTTTTAAAATGGTGATTCTTAAGGTTGAGATTGTAAAAGAAACACAGGAGTTGGAGCTTAGTGCGGGCTACATCAGTACACCACGCGAGATCCAATTCCCAACTGGACAAGACAATGATGAAGTAGCTTATGGATATTATTATCCACCAACGGTAAGTGTCTCATGTGTAACCTCTTAAGCACTTTAGTACTAGTTACTTTGACGAAACGTCGATGTAACAAAATGGATGAACTTCCTGGTTACGAGTTATTTGTTTTCTCGATTTAAACCTACTAATAAGTCAACTTGCAGATTATAATTTGGCACAAAGCTAGAAAATATAGTCTAGTTTTAATATGATCTTCGATTTGGAATTTGTTCCGTAAATGAAGTTGCAATTCATATATTTAGCCCCTCGCTTTTGTTACATTGACGGAAGTCCGTTATATTACAAATGTATGTTACTTCGACGAGTTACGTCAATGTAACAAAAGGGATGGTCTAAATGCATAAATTACAGCTTTATTTAAAAATCAAATGCCAAACCGAGAGCATTTTTAAAAGCTAGACTATAACTGTTTAGTTTAACTTTGTGCCAAATGATAATCCGAAACATGACTTAAATACGTATAAGTTTAAATCGAGAATACAAAGACTCGTATCCAGGAAGTTCATCCATTTTGTTACATTGACGTTCCGTCAAAGTTATTAGTTGTCGAATAGTGATTGGGGAAGGAACACACAAAAAGAGGTACTGAGGTAACACTGTCAAAATAAACCAGATCATTTAAATGCCGATTTTGGATATTCATGGTTCACGTGTGTACACAGTACAGCCAACCAATCTTAACTCAATTTACTTCAGACCTATGCTGTATAGTCAGAGATTCATAATTGTTAAAGTTATCAAAACATGATAATTTTCTTCAGAATGAAGACTATGCTGGTCCAAAAAACTCTACACCTCCTTTGGTAATTCGAATTCACGGAGGACCAACACAAGCTACTCGCGATACGTTCTTGATGCTGTTCCAGTTTTGGACCAGTCGTGGCTGGGGCATATTGGATGTAAACTACAGGGGAAGCACGGGATATGGCAGGGAATATAGGCAGAAGCTTTACAATAAGTAAAAAATTATAAATTAAACTTCTAGGGATAATTCACAATTGATAAACGGTAGGCTAAGTAGCTAAATAATCAAATCGGTGAAAAATGAAAATAATAACAAAAAATAGTTAGTATAGATGAGTTAGATAGGTTTAGATACTGTTAAGTGAATATTAAAAAGTACCGAGGTTCAAAACTTACTAAGTCGCAAGGGGTAAGGTCATTTGGACCCCCTTTGCGATCTTTTATTACTTGTCTGATTTATTGTTGGTGTTGCTGTAAACCGTATTCAATTCAAGTTTTTCTAAAAGTAGGTCCCCGGGTTATTAAAATCATAATCCAACCCACCAAAATCCTACCTTATCACATTTTTGAAATCATCGGACTAATTTTTCTAAAAAGTAGATCTTGTTTTTACATTTTGAAATAAATGTGTCTAGGTCAGAAGCAATGGTTTTTCGGATAGTTGAATTTATGTAAACTATTACCATCCTGAAAACAATATTTCAAAGACCTAAGAAAACATATAATTCAAATGACAAATGCTGTATTTATGGTCGCAATAAAGACATGATTAAATGTCTGTCATGTTACTTATTATAATAGTTTACCATACCATAACATATCATCTCGATTTAGATTTCTCTAACCCATGCATAGACTGCATTGGAAAATTGAAGATTTTCTGTACCCATTAACGGAAAAGCTGTGCTTCGAAAACAGACTACATTAACATTCAACGTTGTTTCGCTTCAACTCATATTTTGTACGATTGCTCTTCTATTAAAGATGGGGCATTATTGATGTCGAAGATGCGGTCAATGGTGCACTACATATGGTTAAAGAAGGGCATGCAGATATAGACAGACTGGTTATATCTGGTGGTTCTGCAGGGGGATTGGTTGTCTTGTGTGCACTCACATTTAGGCCTGGAGTTTTTAGAGCAGGTAATCATAGAAATTGGTGGCAACGTAAAAATCTATTTTTCTTTGTAGTTTTACACGATGAAAATTAAATGATGTTCCGTACTATTTCTCTAGTTTGTTATCATGTATTCCCTGTGTATACTATAACGTGCATATAAACTAATATAAGCCTAATAACGCAGATGCGAGTAGGTAGTTAAACCAGTAGTTGTCAAAAGGAGAGAACTGACCCACCCCTATTACATAACCCTTTGTTTTACTGTATAGTTCTATGAGGCGGTACCTTCTCATCCTATAGAGGTCTATGGGGTGGTGCCTGTATAGCCTATATAACGCTATGGGGTGGTGCTCGCCTGTACAAATCAATGGGGTGGTGCCAGCCTGTATAACTCTATGGGGTGGTGCTCGCCTGTACAAACCAATGGGGTGGTGCCAGTCATGCAACAAAACCCTTAAACTTTATAAAAAACCAAAGAAACATAATGAGACCCATGCCAGGCTCGAACTCGCAACCTTCCACTCAACAGCCGGACGCTTTTCATTCTTTGCTTATTCCAACATTCTAAGACCTTATATAGACTATGTGATATAAGAACACTTAATTTTGGTCAAACAAATGTTTTACCCTTGCAAAAAAAATTCAATTTTATTTTTTTCATTTTCACTTATTTCAACATTCTAAGACCATATACAGGCTATATAATATGCGATCACTTTGTTTATGGCAAACAATTTTTTTACCCTTGCAAAAGTTTTCAATTTTATTTTTCATTGTTCACCTATTTCATCATTCTGGGACCATATTCAGACTATGTGATATCGGAACACTTCATTTTTGTCAAACAAATTATTTTACCCTTACAAAAAATTATTCATATCAAAACTTTCAGGGAGGAGGAAGGAGGAGGTAGGGAGGAGGTAGGGAGGAGGTGGGAGGAGGTAGGGACGAGGTGGGGAGGAGTTGAGAGGAGCAAGGGAGGATGTAGGGGGGGGAAGCAGGGAGGAGTTGGGAGGAGGTAGGGAGGAGGTGGGAGGAGGCAGGGAGGAGGTAGGGAGGAGTCGGGAGGAGGTAGAGAGGAGTTCGGAGGAGGTAGGGAGGGGGTGATTCTCGAAGATCGTGGCGTGCATTTGTTTATACCGGTGTCACGCAATGTTTATACGGGTGCCACACATATGTGTGTACGAGTGCCACACATATGTTAAGTCAATTGCACAACTCGTGAACATTTTTACAAGGGCAAAACATGTGTTTGACATTAACGAAGTGCTCTGATATCATTTAGTCTGTATACGGTGCTAGAATGATGAAATAAGTAAGAAAGAAAAAAAGAATCTTTGTTAGGGTAATATATTTAATTGACAAAAATGTAGCGTTCTCATATCACATAGTCAGTAAATGGTCTTAGAATCTTGAAATAGGTGAAAAATGAAAAGAAAATTGAAATTTTTTGTAAGGGTAAAATAATTTGTTTGACAAAAATGAAGTGTTCCGATATCACATAGTCTGAATATGGTCCCAGAATGATGAAATAAGTGAACAATGAAATATAAAATTGAAAACTTTTGCAAGGGTAAAAAAATTGTTTGCCATAAACAAAGTGATCTCATATTATATAGCCTGTATATGGTCGTAGAATGTTGAAATAAGTGAAAAATGAAAAAATAAAATTGAATTTTTTTGCAAGGGTAAAACATTTGTTTGACCAAAATTAAGTGTTCTTATATCACATAGTCTATATAAGGTCTTAGAATGTTGGAATAAGCAAAGAATGAAAAAAAAATGTTTGACATAAATGAAGTGTTCTGACCCCAGGGTTCTGACATCTCATAGTCTGATATCTCAAAGTCTGTCTTAGAATGATGAAATAAGTGATAGCGAAACGTTTTATAAGGCAGGGCCTCCCAGGGTACTTCAAAGTTACCAATCGGGAGCTTCAAAGGGTACAAGCGAATGAAGATGATATTTGGAAAGTAGAAAAAATCTTGAAAACACGAACAAGACGAGGCGGGAAAGTACGTTAATGTGAATAGTTCTACCTGAGACTATCATAAAAGTATTCCCCGGGCAGTTAACATACGCCGTATCCGTATAGGTGATTTAGACTAAACAATATTGTCATAAATCAAACTTAAAGCAGTGACATTTATGACGCGTACTGGTTTATCGATGTATTGTTTTTGGCGGGAATTCGAATAGGATGACTCTCCACAAAATTAACGTACAGTCGTGGGGTAGAGCGTCCGTTACCCCTAGGGCCCGAGATCCCCGAAAAAATGTACACGCCACCACGCCGAGGGGGAGGGGTGGGGTCCCCGTATGTGCCTCCCGAGCTCAGGGAGGCTCACAGATGTCCCTCCCCATTGGAGCCCATGTTAGGGAGGGTAATATGAAAAATCGTGTCCCTCCCCATAGGACTCCATGTTATAGGTGTGCCAGAACTATTACTACTACAATTTACACAGACATTGTCAGTTGGTAGCAGTGGCCTAATGGATGACGCGTCCGGCTGTTGAGTGGAAGGTTGCGAGTTCGAGCCTGGCATGGGTCTCATTATGTTTCTCTGGGTTTTTATAAAGTTAAGGGTTTTGTTGCATGACTGGCACCACCCCATTGGTTTGTACAGGCGAGCACCACCCCATAGAGTTATACAGGCTGGCACCACCCCATTGATTTGTACAGGCGAGCACCACCCCATAGCGTTATATAGGCTATACAGGCACCACCCCATAGACCTATATAGGATGAGAAGGTACCGCATAGAACTATACAGTAAAACAAAGGGTTATGTAATAGGGGTGGGTCAGTTCTCTCCTTTTGACAACTACTGTTACCAGTTTCTTCACCATCAGGTGGCTCGTTCGGGTTAGATAGCATGGCGAGTATAGTTGAAAGTTCCCTTTAACTTAAATTGCATCTGTTTAATTCGTGGTTCAATTTTCAATTCAATTCAATTTCAATTCAATTCACTTTATTTCAAATGTTTCAAATACAGTGTTTTACATTGACATGAAAAGACACCCCGAGGGGTGTATAAGTTCCATGTTTAACATACAATATAGCATTTATTAAATTAACAGTCAGGTTATATGGAAACAAAAAAAATGACAAAGCATATAACCCTTATGTATCTAATAGTTATGCAAATCAAAATATGTCCAGTAAAAGAAAATGTCATCTCTCCCGAGTCCAATACAAGAGAGATATTTCACTTTTTGTCATTTTGTAACATAGGGTCTATGGGGAATCAACTCGAGATGGAAGTCACATTTTCAAAAAAAATTAAATTTTCAAAGTTGATAAATAATTTTCAAAACCATATTTCTAGATGAACTTTTACATGTAGATTTCAAATATAACATCACTTTAACTGAATTTTGAATATGACTTAACCCAAGACTATTTCTACTCGCATCTAGTCTATTAGGTCACACTCATGCGTGGAGCGAATAGCTACAAGTGGACTTCATTCTCGTGCAATTTTACTTGAATTGAATTTTTTTTCAACTAAAATTGTTCGCCTCGCCGCCCTGCCCTATATATGGCTTCGTTCATGGTATTTGTATATATCATTCACAAAGACAAAATCGTCGAAAATATATTTTTGGCCACTCAATGTTTTTCCAGGTGCGAGCTACTATGGTATATCAGACATTGCTCTTCTGGCTGGTGAAACGCATAAATTTGAAAGTCGCTACATAGACCAATTAATAGGACCATGGCCGGAAACCAATCAAACATATTACGATCGCTCTCCAATCAACTTTGCAGACAACCTCACAGTACCTGTAATATTCTTCCATGGTGACAAAGACACGGCAAGTAAAACCGTTCTTCAAATGAGTATCGGTCGTTGTAAAGTGAGCATGATCCAATGAATGACGTTTTCGTTTCAGCTTAAGCTAAATGAACCAATTGAAAACTTGTTTTGGTTACTTTTAGATTGTCCCCATGAACCAGGCCGTGATTTTGCACAATGTTCTCAAAGAGAAAAATATACCAACATCCCTGAATATATTTAAAGGTATAAAAATGTACATTTCTCGTTATCGTAATAATTTGATTACTTTTGGGCAGACTGCGAATTATGCCTCGTTCATTCGATTATCTTTATGAAAATAATTTGGGATGATACGATACATTTTCCAAGTTAAATTTAATATGTAAAATGTACCGAACCATTTTATTAAATATAATATGTTTGAAGAAAAACGGTGCAGTATGAGACTCTTTGATTTTCAAACATCTGGTAGGTCTAAAATTAAATTAACGTTTTTTCGTGTATAGTCAGAGCCCCGTGATAACAAATAGGGTGATCATATCTTGACATTGAATCTAGATGGATCACCTTGATTCTCACAAGGCGTATGTTTGATATGATCATATGAAGAAATCAATCAAATATATAAGAGCTATTTCTAGGAGAAGGCCATGGATTTGGAAAAGATAAGAATAAAAATGCTGCATTAGATGGGGAGAACTACTTCTATAGTAGAGTATTTGGATTCTTGGAACATATGGATTGCGATAAAGGAAAGGTATTTTGAAATCAAAATTACTTAAACTCAAGATAATTTCTTAAGTTAACCACTTATTAAAGATATGAAAAGTTCGGGAAATAACTGGACCACGCGTTTTTGTTAATCTAAAACATACTGAAAATTGCGCACATACAAAACATTATATTTCCCTTGCTCTTGTTAATAACATCCATATATTATTAGTGTTGTATTGCTTTATTATATCCAATGAACCCTGGTTTCTAGTCTATAAACTAAATCATACGGTTGCTTTTACGTTTCAGGTTGAGATTGACAATGAAGATCAGTTGAAGAAATCCCAAAGATAAAATGCGTGAATGATTAGTCGTATGACATGGCAGTTGGAAGCATTATGAACTGTTTCTTACAATATTCATTTTCATTTTCTGAAAAAAGAATTGGAATATCATAATGAAAATATGATTTTTTTTTTGATAACATTTTTGTCGAGATAAAACGTTGTGTTGGTAGGTGTTCACTACAGAGAGGGTAATTTATACCTCAGTCAGGAGCATATGTGGAAGAAGCATGTCCACTAGATTGAGACAAGTGTTCATTAGAGAGAAGTGTTCACTAAGACAGGTTTTACTGTGAATACTAAAATTCCAATTTTTATAAATCATTATTACATTGTACATAACTAAGGACATATACAGATATATTGATGAAACTATATAAATCAGAAAACCATTACTGAGGATTGAATAAATAGTTGTAAACATAAATGACAATATATTTTTATTTTGCAAAATTAATAAATATTGTTCAGAGTTCTTGATTCATGTGTAAGATTCATGATTTTTAGATTGTAGTTAGAAAAACATATCTTAAAATAAGCAAGAATTTAATCCAATTTAAGCACAAAAATGCCAAAAACTTTTGAAATGAGAGCATTTTTCCGTGAACTTATTGAACAACCTGGTATATTACAACATACTGATACTTTGATTCTGGCCAGTATATCACGATTTGTTTGGTGTAGCAAGTACCAGCTTTGACTGGAAGCCAAACTACTTGATCATCAAACCATTCACTATTTCAAAACAAATATTTTTATTTGCTTTTGTTAGACAAACAAGAACTATTGAATACATACCGGAGTAACAATATGAAGAAACAAAAATCGATTTTTTAAAAAATTAATAGTATATGTAGCTGTATTTCCTACAAAACATTTTATGTTTTCATAGTCACAATTTTTGGCAAAACATTTTGGCAATCATTGATAATGCAAAAACAGCATTTATTGTACAAGCATCACTACAAACACTCGATATTTCTTTTTACTAATTGGTAAAAATACCAGTTTCCTACTGCTAATATTCTTGAAGAAATTTTAAGTTGTCATGCAGAAAATAAATAGGTTTTGTATGAACAATATGACATCAATGAACAAATCGTGGTTGTTGAGTTTACCTTCAGAAAGTTTTGACAAAACATTTGAGAACCGCTTAATCATCTAAAAACAAGCTGATCATGTTGTTGCACTTTTTTGTATCAGTATTTACAAGAGCTGTTATAACTGTCAGTTGAATATCAATCTCAGTCCGGTTTCACTAGACGCCGACAAAGTGCAATCACTGATTTTGAGTGCAACCACTAATTGATTGCAACCACTGACTTTGAGTGCAACCACTGATTTTAGTATATCAGTGTAACCACTCTCTTTCAGTGTAACGGATGTCTTTTACTGCCAACTACCTTCTTTGAGTGCAACCACTGATATAAGTGTCCATTTCATGAGTGCTAGGATAATGTCACATTGGCTGCTTGAAGATATTTTTGTAGAAACGTTGATGCATTGGGCTCCAGTCTTGCAGATATAAGAGCAGGAATCTGAAATACACGTACATGGCTGATGAAACAGGATAGTAAGGCTACCTTTTTGAAAAAAAGCATAACAGGAACGAAACTCTGTTTTTTCACGATATAAATATAGAATTCACTTCCTGCCATTAATAACCATTCACTGTAAGTGCAATTCAATTCACTGTTTATATTAAGCAAGTACATTTATACGTAATACTACAGTTATATCAATTAATCACATGTAACATGGTTTAGTTTTTCATGATTTGGGTTATGTATTACAGCTGACAAATATACTTTCAATAATTGTGACGTCAATAGTTTATCATGAAACACTTGTCAGTTACCATAACCAGAACAACAGGTTATTACCATGACAAAATGAAATGGCTCCACTTGGCTGAACAAAGTATAAGCGTATTAGAAAGTTCAAAAAATCAATATTTGTTCCCAGGAATTCATATCTAACATTGGATTTGAGATTTCACCTTTCATCAGCCCACGGTGACCTTCAAAAGTCAAAAACTCCATACCTAGATCAGTTATTTTGATTCAATTTGAGATCAAATAGGTCTCGAAAGACGCAATGAGATCTGAAAAAGTAAAACTAGTCACCAAACTAGTCAAAAATTGTGTCATCTACCGAATCACTTAGATAACTCATATGAAAGTGCTGCTTACTTTTCCTGGATTTGCTGTGGAGAGCTGGTGTAGTTTGTTTGCTAGGTATATTTTAGCATTGGGTATTGTAGAGAATGGGTCAGTGTCCTTTTTGCCAGCAAACATCAGCTGAGAATATGCAGTCTGGTATCCTGTTTAATTAGAATAAATCATATTAATGAATTTACGACATACCTGATACTTCATTCCAATGAAAAAAGGTCACCTTATGCAATTAAAAATGTATACAAACAGGCACCAGTTTTATAAAAAAAGATGGTCAGGCTGTTGTAAAATGGTGGTACATAAAAACAAATATTGTTAGAATGGATTTAAAGTTTGCTTTTCCCTCATATTATTGAAACAAACTTGTTGTAAGTGCACAAATTGTCAATTTACAAATTACCAAGCTGCCAGTAGCTTAGTATTGTTTCACCACCATGTGGCCAACTTGGGGAAGATAACATGACAAATATATCTTTAACATTCCCTCAAAATTGAACATTTATGATGGATATCAAGATTATTTCTCCTCAATTCTAGTATATTGAAAGGGCCTTTTTTACTAATCTACTAAAATGAAATTGATAATGAGCACATTCTAGTATAATTATGGGATAAGACTTAAATAGAATGACTACCTGGCGTTTCCTCGATTTCAATGAAATGCTCATCATCAGGTATAGATTCATCTTCTGGAAGTTCAAAAAGCCCAATGAGAGCCTGGAGGAGAGGGGTCCTGAAAATGAACAAAAGAAAATTAAATCCTATGAGAGCAGATACCTACAAAACACCATCTGGTCCAGAGAGACCGATTAGATGAGATAACAATAAAGCACATATCATTGAGTAAGAGTGTATGTGTAGTGTAATGTTTGATTTCAAGATTGTATTTTACATGATTTTGTTGTGTAATATTATAATTCACGTATCTCAATAATCATGTCAAATCAAATAATCATGTCAAATCAATTAGGATGTCTTATATCCTAGGCATACGTGCCAGACATAATCAATCAACTAAGTCAATAATACGCAATAATCATTGTGATAAAAGTCAAGGACTACCCTGAAATCAAAATGTAAATAAGACATTAATTCATCCTGTTTTATTAGGATTCATTAATCTTTAAAATAAAACAACTCTTGACAAGTGTTAAATTACATATATAGTTTATTACATATGGAATATAAACTATATTTTTACATAAAGACTTGGTTCATTACCATAAATTCTGGTAGTCTCCTGTCATTAAAGCTGGGGTTTCGGTCAGAATATTTGTCATCCCAACCGCACATATTTTACGTTCTGTATGACCAGACACCTTCTGTACCTCAGAGATGAAGAGTCGATCAAGCACCATACCAAACATCCTGAAGGTAGAAAATTAGAGAATCGTCTGATGGAAACGAAACACAGCTACATCGAGATTCAAAAAGACAATTAACAAGAAAATTCAACAAAAACATTTTTTTTTAAATCTTTATTTAACAATACAAATCATATTTCAGCTAATTTACTATTCCCTCTCCAAAATTGCCTAACCATTTCAGATGGCATCTAATTTAAAACATTGTTACAATACTAAACAATGAATATACTATGGCTTACTTTGGCTGAATTGCATCAATCATTTCCACAAGAGATCCAGTGCCATGCTTGGCAATATACAGGCAGAAAAATACAAGGAGACCTAAAAGACCAAAACAAAGAATGAATCCAAAATGGATTTTGGAACCTTTTAATAAACATATAGTTGGGATGAAATGAGAAGTTTTGATACTGCTAGAGTTTATCTTTAAAATAGATGTTTCGAGATGATAATCAATTAACCCTTTTCAAAACTTTATCATACTCCAAAAGGTTCCAAAAGATTGATCTCACTATTAAGAATCAAAGTTCACTTGCATTGGAAAATTAGTTAAGATATTTTATCTATCAAATGTGGTGATGCATTTAACTTACAACTTAAGTTACAACACAAAAACCAGTATCTTCTTTTTCTGAGTATAAAATAACAGCATTGATGGATTTCTAATGTTAATTGAATATGAATGCATTCAAATTGCACTTACTTTTAATAAATTTTGTTGTTTTTGAACTTGTTAACCTCTGGAAGAGCAGCATAAATACGCGCTTTAAGTACTGAGCCATTACTTCCCTATAACCAAATAAGGTGTCTTGCACATAATATTTTAAAGTAGATTACATGCAATGTCGGACAAAAGATGGTATATGGTATCCAGTTAGTAAAGTATCAATAAAGCCCACTGAGTACTTTGCGCATTTAGCAAACATGAATGTATTTTTGTATTTTAACGATGAACTGCATTATTTCCTTTAATAAACCTGTGAGCCAAATACAATACAATTTTAAATACGGAGAGCATTAGGAAAGAGTTCTTACACAGGCATATGCTGTAGCATACTGTTCAACAGGTAGAAGCCTTCATGGTCATTACTCTTTGATGCTATCAACTTCTGAAAGATTCCTAAAAGGCCACCCTAAAAAATACAAGGCATATACCTAGTTGCTCACAATATTATTAGTTCAATCTTAAGTCAATTTGAGGCAAGTTAAAAAATACCTTTTTACCTTGAGAAGGTCAAATCTCAAATCTAAAATCAGATTTGAATATCTGAAAAATTGGGCCATTTGAAGAAAGTTGAAAAAATACCTTTTTGACCTTTTTTGTCCTCCAGGTCACTGAATAGGGGTGAGACGACAACCCGATGAGTCGAGGACTCGCGGGTTTGGGGCTTCAAGTCGAGTCGAATCGAGTCGAAGTTGATGAATCGAATCATTTTCGAGTTGAGAAAAAAAATCGAAAAAATAAAAATTCAGAAAAATACTGTCAATATGCATGTTTTTACTCGATATTGCGTTGAATATATAAGTTTCAATGACTTGGATATGCTTGTATTAAATTATTATATTGTATGTACACATAAATGAAAGAATATATGTAATAAAATCAGAATAAACTTACGACGAATTGTGTTTGTTTATATTTCCGGCTTTCCACCATTGACGCATTAAAAATACGAACGGTCAAAAGCGATGTTGTTCGCACTTTATCTGACTCGAAACGGATTCGAAACTTGAATCGTTATTTTCTGACTCGAATCAGATTCGACTCGAATCGGATTTTTTCGACTCGTCTCACCCCTATCATTGAAGGTCAAACCTCAAATCTAAAGTCACAGATTTGAACTTCTGAGAACTTGTACATGATTTTGAAAAGAATTGAAGTCAGTCTAAACAGTATTTGCTAGATCTGATTCTGTTGGAATTTTGTTTATAATATAATTTATTTCAAATTAATATGGGCAATATAGATTTTGATTCTTTGGAAAACATATAAGAGAAATGTACATTTTAAGCAGTGTGGTATATAACAAAAAATATTGAAATAAGAACTTACAATTTGCTCTGTTTCAATCTGGCCAGGCCCCTTCTCAACATATGCTTGCAACAGACGGACCAGAGGAGGTATGTTCCCAGGTCTCTCCCACAACACAGGAGTCAACAGAAAAGGGAACAGAGCCATATAAGGATCAGGGATACTGGTAGTGTGCATCTCAAGAAGCAAAGACAAAATTTGGAACACATAAGGGATGAACTCTGAAAATATATTTTAATTTTTAAACTTTTCAATATCAAATTGAAACTTTCAGTATGCAAAGTCTTCTAATATTTCAAATAATATGTATTCATGACTTGATTTCATTTCTAATAACAACCCGACTTTGTGTGTCATATTCACCTTAAACCTGTACATTAATCAAAAACATTTTATAAAATGAAAAATTACCTTGAACATCTTGTTGGAGGATTTCTTGGAATGGTGGGAAGAGATTTTGTTCAAAGCTTGTGACTGCCTCTGGACTGGCCTTACAAGTATTACGTATACATACACAGAGAGACTCAAACAGGTAGTGGTTGAAGTGTGGCTTGCTGGGATTCTGTAATACAGTTAATATATTAGCAATCTAGTGTTGTAAGTTGTAGAGGAAACTGCAGTGGCAGTTGACACAATTATGAACAATTTTGCACCATCTTGCATATATAAAAATCAAGCAAGAATGTTTTTTGAAGCCTCTATTTTTGAAAATATTGCATGAATTTAATTCCAAAACAGTTTATTAATGCTTTAACTAATGTAAAAATCTGTGTCAGATCGCAATGAGACGATTAATGAAACTGAAGTTGACACAATTATACAAGGCTCTAACTGTATCAATTATGACACTCTCCAATACTGCACCAATACATTAGTGGTTTCCTTGAATTTTAATGACAATATTTATGTGGTGCCTACACAACAGCTCAAGATGATGACATTACAGCACTTTGAAAAGTGTGATAAAATTATTGAAAAACCATAAACAAAACAATAATCATTTTAAGAAATATAAGAAAACAAGTATTATTTCCATGTTCTGTAGAACATATATTACAAATTGAATCATTTTGTATGACAAACAAACATAACTCATCTTAATTTACCTTGCTGACAGCAATTATTGTCTGAGTAAGTTGAGGCACCAGGGTGCCTACATAGGGCAATATTCCCTCTCCCAACAATGAGATTGTTCGCATAACAGCTATAAAAAAGACAAGTATTCCTACATAACAAAAGAGGAAACAGTTCAATTTAGTCCCAAAGTTTTGGCAACATAAAAAAACTAGTGATGCAAGTAAGGCGACCTTTTTACTCAATCACTACTCTACGCCCGGTATTTTTCGCGTGCAATTTAGTTTCGCGCTTTTCGCGACTGTGTTAAAATCGCGAAAATTAATCGTCGCGAATTTCGCCAATTAAAGGCTGAGGTGCAACATGGCGTTGACTAAGACATAGAAATTGTAAATCTTATCAAAATATGACATTGGGTAGGTCTTATTACTGTAGATAAGGTAAATTAGTTTACAGATCTTGAGGATCCAGAGAATAATGGAATTTAAAACTTTGAAATCCGCGAAATTTAATGGCCGCGAGATTGGTATTTCTCAAAATTCGCGAAATTAAAACTCGCGGAAAATACCAGGCGTACAGTATGTAAAACAGTATGAGGATTGATTTAATAGATTCAATTGATGGCTTTTATTGATAGCAAATGCATTCTATTTACTTCCTCATGGTAAATTTGTATGATTGCCATTAAAAATTAATTACTGGACATTTTAAGGTCTCAATTTTAAAAATAGAATCCATTCAAGTGTGCACTTCTGAAAATGACAATTAAGGGCCTACATTTGAGCAAACCATCTCTTAACACATATTTGATTCTAAAAAAACGTGTTTATTATTACATAGCTATTAAACCGTATTAATCTAAAATTGATAATACTGTAGGTTCAAATGCACATTACATTTGGTTATAAAGGTTTCAAAAATCAACAGAATGAAATGTCACCTTTCATTATATATTCATTTTCTCGAGACTCTGGTTTGGACATGGCAGCAAACAGATTGGTCAGCAGCTGCTCAACATGTGGTTGAATATGTGCTCTCGTCACACTGAAATATAAGATAAAAGTCTTAAAAATAGCACTTATACTTGAGGCTGAAAATCTAGTATATAAAGATGATCATACATACATACATAAAACATGCATAATTAGATAAAACAATAAAACACCTACTCTGTGAAGATGGATTAAATATGTTTTTGTCAAGTTTATTTCTAAACAAAAGATAAATACGTAGAAGATGTAGTGGTGATGCACATTGCACAGCTTTCCAAAAATACCAAGAAACCCAACAGGGTCAGTTGATTCTTTTTTATTTTATTTTTTGCAAATCCCTACTTGTCTAAAAAGATTATTATCAGAAGAATACTTACGCTGGCTGCCCTTGTGGATTTTTCAACATGAACATGCGCTCTAAGCCATGTGCCGCATAGCTGTGCTGTACAACACTATTAGCTAATAAGTGCTTTATAATCAAAGGAATACAAGCTATTGTGATATCATTGGGAAGTTGGTTCCTGAAGGTCATCACATACTTCAGGGCATCTGCCTTGAGAATTGGCCTCTCATTAACTACAATAAATTAACATAACAAAATGTCACAAATGTGTTACTATTTGAATGCAACAATCTGTTGCAGAACACTGGGAACAAAAGAAATAATGATGTCACTTAAGTGTTGCCATAGATACCCATGAAACAAGTAATCTACACTTTTATTTTGCAATTCCAGTACTCTGGTCACTTGAAAGCCAGTGTTGTTACAAATCCAATGAGAGAATGATGTGACTTAAGTAAGATTACTTTACACGACTCACATGTGCTTTATTTGCCAGAAAAACACTAACAAAGAAAGCAATAGATCTGTAATATTTTGGATGAACAAGGAGATATACGTAATAATACCATTTTCATTTTGGAGATCAGGGACTATTTGACTGTTGAAAAAATCCTGGAGGTTCACTAGAGAACTTGTCTGTGTAATACCATGCTGAAAAAATAAAACACTCATTATCCTTGGATTTCATCACTCTATATTATATACAAAACGTAGATAATTTGATGCGATTCATCGGTATGAACATCATTTGAGATAATAGCATACTTTAGTACCCTAAAATGCCTCATTACTACTGTAGAACAATGTCATGCTTTAGTTGTACATATTTATTATGTATTAATCTCCCATTATAGTCATTGGCATAGTAGTGTAAAACCCTCATAGTATATTTGATTTCTTCATTATTACAGCAGAACATCTACAGAATTCAGTTATGTACCATACCTTCTGAGTCTGTGCTTTGGCAGCAAGTGTGGTAACAAGGTACACTGCAACATCTTTGTGCTTCCAGTTAGCAGCTGGATTCTGTTGATACAATGCCAGGTTAGACTCCACATATTGGGAGAAATTCTCTATGACAGGACCCTCAAACTGTTTACTCAATGCACGTACCAAATCACATGCAGCACGTCTCCGTGTATCAACATCTGCAAGAATGTTATTTTTATATCAATATGTTGTAGATCACTGACATATTTTAGATAAGGTTTTACATAATAACTTAGTTTTGGGTAAGTAAATTTGATTTAAATCAAAGCTACAAGTATACCTGAGCCTTCAATGTCTCTCCTGATGTATTCCTCTGGGTTGTCTTCAAAGCCTTCTTCATCTGCCTCTGAAATATTCAATTTATGTGTGTACTTCTGTCGTATAACATCAAAAATAGTCAAACATAAGACTTGGATGAATCAGATATTAGCAATTTTTAAATAACAAGGAATAGAGTTTAACATTGCCTGAAACAGATATGAATTGAGATAAATACCATATTGACATTTTCATTGGATTGTGGTTCAACATTTGAAAATGATACACAATATATCAATTCCTCAAGACACATGAAGTCTCCATACCCCCATGATCCCAACCCCACTTCTTCCTATATCTATTTTCTGCACAGAGCCTACTGGGCTGGGACATGATGCATAGCTACTTTTGAAACTTTCACCTGCTTACCTCTGAATTGCATGTTTGGCACAATAACTTTCTCACAGATACTACTCAATGTGCTTGGGTCAAACAGGTGCTTATAGCCAGGTCTCTCTGCCACTGATGTCAGGAAGTTAATAGCATTCGTCACAAGCTATAAGTAAAACATGTAATGGATAGATACATATGACTGGGGTAACATGAAACATCATATTTTCTCATCAATTACAAGAGACAAGTTGCATAAGCAAGTCTTACAAAAACTGTGCTTGCTGTGGCCACTTTGAAAAAATTTGCATCTCCGGTAATATGCACAACTTAAATTAACACCAGTTGTATGCATTAAGGGATACTATTGTAGACATATGAGTCACATATTTATGGAGCTATGGGTTTAAGGTTTATTTATTTACAGGGTTTATCTGGAGAATAATTGTATTTTATATTTACCAGATCATATTTCACTTGCTGTCCAGTTGATACTAGCAAATTCCATATATCAGTTACAAAAGTTGGCAAGTGTGCTGAAAATTCCTCATCATATTTCTGGGCGTAGAGTCCTACATTGTCACATATTTGAGACTTGACCTGCTCCAATAGACCTGCTTCTTCATCTTCCTAAACATAAATTACAAGTACTGAAGTTAAAATATCATATTATCATTCAATTTTACTGTATAGAAATTATTAGGGGTGAGACGACAACCCGATGAGTCGAGGACTCGCGGGTTTGGGGCTTCGAGTCGAGTCGAATCGAGTCGAAGTTGATGAATCGAATCATTTTCGAGTTGAGAAAAAAATTCGAAAAAATACTGTCAATATGCATGTTTTTACTCGATATTGCATTGAATATATAAGTTTCAATGACTTGGATATGCTTGTATTAAATTATTATATTGTATGTACACATAAATGAAAGAATATATGTAATAAAATCAGAATAAACTTACGACGAATTGTGCTTGTTTATATTTCCGGCTTTCCACCATTGACGCATTAAAAATACGAACGGTCAAAAGCGATGTTGTTCGCACTTCGCGCGACTCGAAACAGATTCGAAACTCGAATCGTCATTTTCTGACTCGAATCGGATTCGACTCGAATCGGATTTTTTCGACTCGTCTCACCCCTAGAAATTATATTATACAGAAGATAATCAACATAATAGAAGTATCATATTCAAAATATCCTTCAGTACAAAATTGACACTCTATCTTGTTTCTGAAGACACAAAAGCTGACCATGCATCGGAATGAACTTAAAATCTCGAAACCATGTAATCCATCAGATATAGATATAGAAATATTTTCAAATACCCTTTGTGAGATGATGTTAAAATACAAGAAATCAATTTCTGTTCCCACTCACATGTGTTTGCAATAGTTTGTTGTCTATTAGAAGCAAAGAGTGGAAGTGACCCATCCATGTTCCCATGTTATCTTCAAAATATTCAGGTAGGTCCTGCAAAGAAAAAACAAACATTTTTGTTCCAGTTTTCAACTTTTTAAAGCATTAATTATAATTCAAATTGAATTTACATAACATGAAATAGCGAACTCCTTTTTACCATAAAAGTAAAACGTTTGATCCTCAATATGCATGAATGCCATTTTCCTCTTAGATGTCTTTGATAATGTTTAATAATTTTCACAGAATGGGGAAAACATATTGAATATGGAAAGATTCTAGACTCACCTGAAAGTTAAGGCTGTAGAAGATCTTACAAATAAGAACTAGGGAGCTGAAAATAATCTTCAATGCTGCGAGGTTACTGGCATTTTGATTGGCTCGCTCCATAGTATCCTAAAACAAAGATATAAATTAAACTTTTGGGCTCACCTTAATATTACTATAATAATAAGAATGACTATGCTACTCATGAGTAAACTTTTGAAACAAGGCATTTTATCAATAAGACAAATTGTCACAACCTGGTTTAAAAAAGTGTAGCAATTTATTACAGACACCAAACACTGATGCTAGGTGCAAGTCACAAAACTCTGTGGCTATGACATCCCTTTTTACTGGTGACAACAAAACAGAAGAATGATTATATTAATGTTTATCAGACATTCGGGGACCCTGAAATGTATACATACTACGAAATACTGATTAGAACTTTGTACATTTGGTCTCCTAAGATTTCACTTACATTGAACAACTGTGTCAACGGAGCAGCGAAATTATCTAATACATATTTGATTTCCGTCCACAATTTTTGAGATTTGAATTCATGGCGATACCTGCAATGTAAAACACCATCAAATATAAGACAAATTAGATAAACTTACTGGAATAAATAAACATTTAAAAGGGTAAAACGGAGAGACAGCATTTATTTCTTATAAGGTAAAACTTTGGCTCTTGATTCGCAATCACATTTAACTTTATCTTTGTTATTATTTCCATTATAAGGTCATGTTAAAATCCTACTATACCCCTTAAAACAATAATTGGGAATGAGAAAAGATTATTGTATAATGCCCTTAATATCCATCGAGGATTCTCTGGCATCCCTTTATCTTTATCTTTCAATAAATGACTTTTAGTTACTAATGATAAATACTAGAATGTTTCAGAATCATACCTCTTGAATATGGAGTGTGCTGTTCTGAGGACTCCATTTATAACATGAGTGTCTCCACTTTGAAACTTTGACACCATTTCACCAAGAAGTTCTGGCCACTTGTCGGGAAAATCCTCCCGTCCAATGTTACTTATAGCATCACTAAACTGAAATAGCAAAATGAGGAATTATTTTATCGAATTAAATGTGAGCAAGAAACGCTGACCACATGTGGTTGTGGTAAAATTAGACATTACAGAACACACAAGGCCTGAATATTTCAATAAATAAGCTTCCATACATGTATAGTCGGCCATTTTACAAAACCATGTGCTTCAGATGAGTAAAGATGATGAGTAATGGGCAGGTTTTCTATACTAGACTTAGGTGCAAACTAATAATAAGGCATCTGTTGCAAAATGTCACCACCTGTCATTTGTTACAGACACCGACCACAGAATGCCGAACACCAACCACCAAACACCAGTCCATAAAAATTGGAAATATATAACAATATGTCATCACATGTAGTGGTGACATAATTTAGCATTTCTAGAACCTTACAAACTCCTACCTGTTTCTGAATATGTTCAGGACTCTTCAGCATAAGTCCAACAATGAACTGTTTTATTGCAACTCTGTCATTTGCGTGTATTTTATCACCAGAATCTTCAATCTAAATGGATAATAATTTCAAGATTAGCTGACAGTTACTAAACAGTACAGGGTGTTCCAAAAGTAACAGGACTGGTGCTGGCATTTTGTCGAATATGCACCAATCGTCTTCAAAATTTTACATAATGTACTTCCATGTATTGTAACTAAGACTGCCAAGTTTTGACAAAAATTATGAAACTGGGGTAGAGTTATGGTTGCTATGGCAACATGACATCACAATACCCGGGGCAACATTCCACACAGAAAGTTACAGAGACTTTAAGCATTTTGTACATCCCATAGCAAAGTTAGAATCCAACAACTGGTGGGAATTACATTTGCTAAATACATTATTTGATATTCCTATGTATCCTCTACTTTGAAAAGTAGAGTCCTCTTTGGTCAGTCCAAGAGTAGCACTCAGTATCCATGACTCAAACACATGAGTGAACCCATTTGATGACATGTCACGCAGGGTCGATAGGACAACTTGGAGAAGGTCATTCTCATCTTTAAAGGTCTTACCGCGCTGATTAGCATTCCATTACCCATATAAAAGTAAAAATTAGATATTGCATGATCAGAAGAGTATGATGCATGGTCTTAGATCTCAAGATCTAGCTCCGCTATAGCTGCAGTGGTCTTTAATGCTGACTTGCGGGCAGACGCCTTATCAAGGTGGATGACTGGCTTCAAATTGGGTCTTTTCAAAAACTCAACAATGAATTGTGCAGACTGTTATACATAATAATATTTTAGGAAATTGAATAAATATTATTATTTTGAAATCATGCTTGAATCTGAGTTGTATAGCAACCCCATAACTATAAAGCAACTAATAAAACAAACAAGAACTTTTGTATTGTAATAGGCGAATTAGATACTTTCTTCAGTCATATAAAAATGTTAGATATTACATTTTCATGAAAAAGTTGCCCCGGGTATTGTGATGTCACGTTACTATAGTAACCATAACTTTACCCGCATTTTATCATTTTTTCTGAAACTTTGCAATTTTAGTTGCACTATTTCAAAGTATAATTTGTGAAAATTTGAACATACTCGGTGCAGAATTGACAAAATGCCAGCACCAGTCCTGTTACTTTTGGAACACCCTGTATACCCAACATAGCAACTAAAGTCCATTTTGCTTTTAATTGTCAGTCCAGGGGAGATGTCATTTGGGGGTAATTTGTACATGTTATTAGAATATACATACTCAATAAAATTGTCTTCGATAGCAAGATTGTGAAGTAATAATTATCAGCTGTATTGGAATCAGTGACTATAAACATGCATTTGGTTAAATTAAAGGAAGAATCAGAGCTATGGTGTTGAATACACCATACATCAAAAATCAAATATAAAAATAAGTCACATTTTGTTGTATTTTGTTACCATAAAAAGATGTTTGCCTTATCACTGATATATCTATAACATACCACTCTCCAGTTGCGCTTCACATAATTCTTGAACATAATTGAAGCACTGACTCTAATGGGGTCAGCACAGTCTGGTTTGTCAATAAGATGTAGCAGCAGAATTGGATAGTTTTGGTTTCCTTCTATTGATTCTAGAAACTTCTCAGCTGAAAGAAAAATGGAAAATAAAGCGTTACCCCTTGAACATTTTGAGGCAATGAAGGTGTAATCCTGCCATTAAAAGAAAAAATTCAATGATTTCAAGGATCTTTGCCCATATTGAGTTGTATGAGCACAGTTTATTCCAATACATTAACCCATGCTATTTTGCCGACAAACTATGCTCATTAAGGACATTAGGACATTTAAAAGGATACAGGCAATAAATATGATTGTGAAATCAGTCTTGTCACAAGTCATAACTTTATTAAGTACTATACTGTATTTATTTTCATAAAATAACAACATCATGCTGGATAACTGGGTACCCAATATGAATAAGGAATATATTGGATATACAGTCACTAAGGGAAGATTTATAACTGGATTTATTTATTTCCTTACCATTTTTTCTTTCTGCAAAGTCGACACTAAGTGTCTTTTCTAAATAGCCCCCAAGAGTCTGTAGGTTCCCTTCATTTACTTCCATTGTTATGGTATAGTCTAAAATACAAAAAGTTGTCGATTATTTTAAACTAACTTTGTGACTCCCATAGGCACGCCCGGTGATCGTGAATATGGGACGGAGGGGGGGAGCAGGCAATTTCTGCTAGAAAATTCAACAAATCTGGTAAAATTATTTTTTCAAGACAGAGTTTAAGATTGAATTGCATATTGAATAAGGGCACGGTATGATAAAATATGTTAAGTATTCTAGGATTATTTTTCAACCGATACTCTTTTAAGATATAAGATCTATTAAAAAAGGAGCAACACAACCAACGTGCAAAAGTCAAAGTTTTTGCTATAAATCAAGCAACAATGGACTACACGACCTGTAATAAATACTTGTAAGTGATGTTATCATAACTAAATTAATGTCTTTGCTGAATTTATAAAATAAGTTTCCATATGTAAAATAAAAAATAATCGAAAATAATTAAAATGGGACGGAGGGGGGGAGGGGACGGAGGGGGGGGAGTAATAATTCTATAAAGTGAAACAACTTCACACGAATTCTTGTATTTGAAAAATGAACTCATTAACTTAGTAAGAAACTGGATGATATACCCCTAGAGACTGAAAAATGGGGACATTTGGAGTAAAAGGACTTAAAGTCGCGAAACATCTCTAATCATGTCTTATATACATATTGCTCCCCCCCCCTCCGTCCCCTCCCCCCTCCGTCCCAAATTCATTATTTTCGATTATTTTTTATTTCACATATGGAAACTTATTTTATAAATTCAGCAATGACATTAATTTAGTTATGATAACATCACTTACAAGTATTTATTACAGGTCGTCCAGACCATTGTTGCTTGATTTATAGCAAAAACGTTGATTTGTGCCTGTTGATGGCCTTGCGCCTTTTTTAATAGATCTCATACCTTAGATGCGTATCGTTTCAGAAAAAATCCCAGAAAACCTAACATATTCTACCATACCGTGCGCCTATCCATTTAGCAATTCAATAGTAAACTTTTTCTTGAAAAAATAAATCTTCCAGATTTGTTGAATTTCCTAGCAGAAATTGCCTGCTCCCCCCCCCTCCGTCCCATATTCACGATCACCGGGCGTGATAGGGGGATGTCATTATTTGCCAGATTAAATGGCCAGTAGTAACTTCCACAATCAATAGACTTTGACAATTGTTTTCAGCATAATTTTGGTCATCGAAAATGGATATCTTCAAAACTAGACTTTCAATACCATTCTACTTTTGAAGAAGTTTTAGACCCCTTGGTGAATAATCTTTTCATGCAATAAAAACCAGAAAAAGAATATCCTCTTTTGAGTAAATAGATTTAACATTTTGAAAAAAATGTTGACAAGGAGTCCCTATTAATAATTTTTCAAATTGTTTGATTGATATTTTTATCATTATGGGTACTTCACTTGAAAGGAAACATATTGTTTTAATAAAAACCACTGTATTTATGCCCAGAAAGCACTCGTGGTAAACCTGCACATCGCTCCAAAACGCAATATGTTGACATATATTATTTTTACATTTTCAAGCTCTAGTATAAAGTCAGTGTAAATAAAAATTGTTTATTTCCGCGTAATATCAAAGCACAATGATTAAGTTGAAAAAATAAAAATGTTTGCGCAGGATTCGAATCCGGGCCGCCTGCGTACTCAGGGAGCATTCTACCGCTGAGCTACCAGTTTAGTACGAACAAGATGAGTAATTAAATGATACTTATTTTAAGTGTTATAATTTGGTAGTGACGTCATGTTCTAAATCTAGAAACCTTCCAAATATCATATCGATGCCGACAATCGAAGCAATTCAAAGAACGATCTTTATAATGACACATTTATCTTGAGTATTTCAACACAAGATTTGCCCCATTTGTTCATCATTGTATAATCTTTCATTAAGCTCAAAATCATTAAGTTCGACCCCAGAACAACCCTAGATTGCATTTCGGGCAAACAGCAGCTTTAAAGATATGACTATCTAAAATCACTGCATACTGCACATGGACCTTTACCATGGGTTATCCTCCAAATTTTTGAGATAAATAAACTAATGAAAACACTAACCCCCTCTATCGTCAGATTTCTCAGAAAATTCTGGTCCAACTTAAAATGAGATTTCACACAGACTTTTGACATGTTTTCAGATAAATTGGGACCTACCTTATAAAGCCCCGATTCACTTACCAAATACCAGATGGCACTCTAATGGGGTAGGGAAGGAGAAAAATTACTTTTAATACACAAAACCAAATCACTAACGGTAACTGCTAGTATCCTTATGCAGGACTATATCCTTACTAGCTTCTCAAAGGTATGTGACATTCTCATTCTTTAGCTAAATCTTATTTTTTAATTCTACCAATGCAGTCAAATTGTGAAAAAAGTAGTAATAACTTAATTTGACCAAGTTTTACTTGGGCAAGGGGGTATAATGTCAAAACCATTTTGGGGTAACTTCGACATATGGGGTGACTTTGACTCATTGTTGTTTACTTGCTCTAATTTCCGATCTTGGGGGAAGCCATGTTTTTTCTTGCATGGATTGAGATCTTGAGAGATTTTATCTTTCCAGAAATCAAACATGGCATCAAACATCGATGTTACACTCCTTTGCCCGCCTAGCTGTGGAGGGAGTGAAACACTTCTCTAGACTATCTTGAGTCCCACAAAAATATTTCCAATGTTTTCTACAGTGGGGATCATAAAGAATTGCAAAAGCTATGAAAATTAAATGCTGTTGCACATGTAATAAATTCTTACCTCAGTGTATTCAGTGCTCTATTTTCTCCGTCTGAGTAAGTCCAAATATAGTGGAATTTGTGTCCCTAATGACAAATAAGAACTTCAAAAGTTGAAGTGGATATTCACATGTTATGCCGACTCTTCAAATGTTGAGGTGATTTTGTCGCCCGATTGCACCGGAACGGAGGATTGGCTCCCAGAATGCAACATGACACGTGCCAGCTTTCAAAATGCTGTTCCGCCATTTTGAAACCTGTCATGAATAAATACGGCAACTGATGTTGCATTCTGGGAGTCAACCGTCCTTGGATAACAAACATGGCGATTCATGAAAACATTCATTCGATTTGGTAGGGATTTATCCATTATTTGCAGGTATGAAGCTTTGGATTCATTTATTGTGCTACTTTAGTGAACAGGAATTGTTTTTCTACCGCTTGGGAGAGTTTGAGACACGAAACTTGGAAATTAGCTCATTGTGACAACTTGTGAACGTTGAGTTTTATTTTTGTCCCCCACTGTAATTGACCTGAAAAATATTACTGTACTGTCAGTTGATTAACTTGGCCTTCGTGAATCTTGTCTAACTTTTAGGCTCTAATTTGGCCAAAGAATTACTACCTTTTTGTCTTAGATATAGCCTTAGACTTTTAGGCTAGATCTAGGCAAGACAAAAAAAATTTAAAAAAATAGACCGGCAAAAATCGGAGAAAGAAGTTAGAAAAACAGAGTAGTTGTTTGATAAAGCAGCACCGAATGGGCTTGACGGTTACAATATATTGTTTTTACAAACTTGCAATACTTGTTCAAAGTTTAATATTAGAACAGTAAACAGTTATAACGCAAAAACTTAAAATCACTCACATGTAATTTCAAAATGGCAACGTCTCGAAATATCTCGCTCCAAGTCTCGAGTCACGTGACTTTGTTTACAAACTTGTCCAAGGAGGATCAAGGGAAAGATCAATACCCGGTGATTTCAGCGGGAAGTGGCGTTTCGTTCAGTGGATGAGCTGCGCGCGCACGCATAAATGTGATTATCCAATATAATTAGGGGAGGGCTATTTGAAATAGTTTTTGGTCTCAGGCGCGACCCAGGGCTGTTGTCTTAAGGACATTTCGTTGAAAATGAGCCATTCTGCTGATAATTGGTAAGAGTTTGCGATCTTATAATGTATAACTGTTACTCAGACACATATTTTGACACGATTCTGTTGGAAATAAGCTTTGAACCGAGAGATATTCACGATTGATATGCACATTTTTGATTGTGCCATTGCTTTTCCATTGCACAATCCATGTATTGATAGAAGAAACATTAATAATGCAGATTGGTTTACCTTCAATACATGGCAGACACTACATATCGGTCTATTAATACCAGTTTGTGCCTTAAATAGTTTTATATTTCCATCCACGGCCTGGAGCCTGGGTGTGTTTGTCTCTTATGTGTATGCTTGTGCATGGACTTCTAATCACTAGCAGAATTTAACATGATGCAAACTCGACATTATAACTCATGCTGTAACATTTTGACTTCGCTGGAAAACAATAGGAATTATTTTTCTTGCCAATCAATCATGAATCACAATCAAAATTTCAGAATGAGCAATCAGGCAATGATCCAAATCAAGTTATAACATTATATGATATTCAGCAAGAAGTCCGGTAGAAATACAGAATATTTAAACATCAAAGCTGAAAGTTAAAATCTAATCTGTCAATTTTCTGTCTGCAAAAGAGCGTTTACATTTGACACAATAACAGACTGAGGCTTTGAAATCTAGGATTCCCCAGGAAAATATGACGTCATACTAATTAGCATAAGGATTTCCCTATTGGTTTGGGTCGAGCCTTGTTCGAAAACACAATCCATAAATACATGCTAATTTCTAAGGAGATAGGAAGTGTATAACGTGTTTATCGATTTTGTTTAAATATTTAATCAATTATCAAATTGTTTAAGTGGATAAAGTGGTCACACTTGCTTCAATTCATAGCGAACTCGACGGATAGAAACTGACCGAATTCCCGATATCCTACCCCGTATTACTGTAGGCTATAAGCACAGTGACCTACAGAGGGCGCTATCACAAACAAGTACTGCACGAACCGATAAATTCCCGGGTATTGTAACGCCCTTGGGAGGATTGGCTCCCAGGATCGAAACTCGATATTTTCCAACAATGAAAACGTCGAAATGTCGTTATTTTCTGAAATTAAAACCGACTATAAATTCAAAATAAACAGTTCAAAAGATTCGAACCAATATCTCGATCATTTCTTGTGAGTTTTGGAATTTTTCGTTTGGAAATAAGACCAAAATTCACGATTTAAATGTTGAAGTGAGCAAAATGGCGGCTGTTTGAATTCGAATTTTGTATTACGACATACCCATATATGGGACAGAATATCGGTGGTGCACTCTGGGAGCCAATCCTCCTTGAAACTTGTCTGAGATTTTCTTACGTTTGAATGACTGATTATAGGTGTATTATTATGTCAAATAAAATTGATGACAGCATCGGGGAATGGCAAAACTACATAGATAATATACTTATGGCTAGGGGAGGGGTGTCTAGAGCAGCAATCCATGGAATAATAGACGGTAAAAGATGGGCAACAACGCCTGACTTTGGAGAAATATCCCTCTCTGAGATTCAATCATGTATTGATGGATTTATTGAACCCGAAAAATTACAAACTGAGGGTATACGTATTGCAGGAGAGGCATTTTCTTTTGTCAAGATGGATATGACTGATAGCTACATTTATTGTAAAAATCCAAAGACAGGATGCATGATTTGCAAATGTAAGAAATGTATTATATTTAGTCAACACGATGACCCTAACATTATAGGACATTGCAGTGCCACCACGTTATATTTAGCTGATTTTTTGAAAAGTTTCGGCTGCTGATTAATTTATCCAAGGCCTAATAAAAGATACATTTACGACCTTGAACAAGCATTATCATCACTCTCTTGACTTAGACGATGTCCCGGGGATACGCCCCCCCCCCACCGGATACGCCCCGCACCCCTACATAGTGTTCGTCTGACAAACCGATTTTGGAAAGATGACTGTTTCAATAAACCAACTTTGAATCAGTTACGCGTTCAACTGACAAAAACACAAAGGATGACAATAGAGAAAACTGATTCTTGAAGATGAACTCAATTTTCTCCTGCTGTTTACGTTACCAGCGACAAAAATCGAAGAACACTTTTAATACGAATAACAAGTTTATTGTAATGAGTACAATAGGTAACATTTGGAATATTTGCACATGAGTTAATAGCTTTACTGTAACATTTAAGGGATATTTACATTTGAGCTTTATCTTCCGTTTTTGCTAAACTTGTATAGGCCTTCACAATGGCATGGATTTACACAAGTAGTATATTAGCCGCTTGTCGGATATTTCTGATGATCCTAAGCAGTGGATACATATACCCAAAATTTCTTGTATACCCCATGATTTCAATTAGTTTATTAACATTGGGGTTGTTATTTTTTATGATGACCAAAATTGATTTTATTCCGTAAACGGCTACATCACTGAATAATTTGGGTAGATATGTGCAGCATGGCCAATTTTGGCTTTGGGTATACACTGGCCAATCTGAGAGGAAAAACATGGAATAATTATTAAAGAAGCCACATTTTTTAGGTCAAAATTCAGTTTTCTAGAAAAAATGGTATTAAATTAGTTGAAATCGTTTGCCGGGGCCTTGGACAAATCCCTGGAAAAGTGGATTTTCTAGTCAATTTTAATATTTCGAGAAATTTTGTCCTTACAAACTCAAGAGAGGAATTAAACATGGATATCTTCAATCTTGGGAAATTTCAGTGACATTATGGAAAATATGGCCAAAAGGGGGTCTTTGGCGCGGCACAAAAGATATATTGGAGTGAAACCCCCGGGGCCATGATCGCCACGCCACGGAGTACTTTCACTCCATTACATATATACCTTACATTTGTTGTTCATGACTGAGCAACCCAAATTGCTTATTACATGGGCTTTCAAGAGATTTTATGTTATTTGTTTTTATTTGTCTTTCCTAATTATTAATGGTTTAGATGTTAATAAGGTACTTTCAAAAATATACTAAACAATTACAATTAGACAAACAGAGTATCTTATTCATTTCTAGGGGTTGGGTATAGTCGAGTGACTTTTAAGCAGCCGAGTATAACAGATACGATTTTGACAAGACGTGCATTTACATTGAGATAAAATGTATGTTTTTTGTGATGATATTCAAAAGATTTATTTAAATTTATCGAAGAAACATTGGCATTTTTAAGCAGTTGGTATGTTAAATGTCCTTTCTCCTAGATTAGCAATGTTTGCTAGGGCTGTTGTAACGTATGTTGTATCTTGGAGCTTCAAATTCAATATGGCAACAATCCAACTGATAGTGCAATAATTTACTAAAAACTGCATCAGAATCAAAGAGTGGTCGATTTTGATTTATCGATATTCGAAAGCCTGTTATCTCAGAAAAGCTAAAAACATATAGTTTTTAAAGTATATTTGTACTTCTCATTGAAAAAACGATAAATATTTGCAGCAAACCATTTGGTTAGAATTCAAAAAAAGTCACGATGCCTTATTAGTAGTACTTCTCATTTTGATAGCTTAACGACGGCAAGCAATATACAGAATTATGTTAGGCAAGGAAAACATACACTAAGGTCGATAAAAATACTTTTTAAATAAAGATGGCATACTGATTGATCTGTGTTTATTATTTATAATAAGATAATATTTGATTCTGGTGCTGCCATCTTTATATCGGCCCAAAACCAATGAAAAACAGCTGTTCTGCACCCTCACTCAAAAAGGCACCACAGAGGCTGAGGGTAACGTCGGTACCAATTCGGTACGGTAATGGACATTTACTGGTAGTGGAAATTATTAACCGGCTTCCGGCGATGATAGCTCGTGAGGAATGAAATAACATCTATCTTTATTTAAGGCATAAATTAGTTGTTATCACTTGCGCCTGGTTGCTTTTCTTCGTTTAAATGACGAAATAAGAATAAACTCCGATATTTTGAAAAATGTGAGTGTAGATCCCATTCTACGTTTTTTGATGGAGTGGAATTGATAAATTTATTTTATTTTCCTGGGGACCTCAATAAAGATAAACGTATTAATTAATTTGATGATAAGAGTCCAGTTTTAGCTGAGAAAACACTTGTGATCAAAGAGACTATCAAAAATCAGTTTCAGCTCCATGTCATATATATCTTTATAAAAACAGAAGTACGTAATATATATATATATATATGACTGAGTTCTATTCTATCATTTAATTTAATCAACAATTGACTGGTGAAATCATTTGTACATAGCTGTTGTTTTTGAATGGAATTAATAGGGCCGACACTTGTTTAACATATATTATATAGCCTATCATCTATTAAAGTCCCTTTTGAATAAAAAAGTCTCCAAGTTCCATGACGACCTGGTTACATTTTTCAAGTTTATTATTGTCTTTATGGATAGCAACTACGAGTAACTTCCTAGTTTTGCAAAGTGATAGGCCCTGAAGTAAGCCTGGGACCCCCGTCTTCGCTAAAATACCATGTAATCCATCAGCCATGACTACTTTGTAGTGTTTATCGAACACAGTCACGCCATCTTTATATGCTTTATCAGGCCATCTGAATTTGTCTAATATGTCCAAGAACTCTTCAGCAGAGAGGAAAAAATTGTCAGTTGCTGCCAGACGAAACCCCTCTAAGTCATAGATTGCCGCTTTATCAATGATAGCAGAACCTAGTAATATATCAGTTATGTAACTTTCCCACGACTGGACGTACCTAAAGTCATTTTCACGGTTCATATCTGGTATTTCATATTCAGTAACGAACGCCGCACCATTATTTGTAGATGTTGTCTCCTCTTTCGGTTTCTTTGGTAGATCGGCCTGGACGTTTTTCATTGTTTTTCGAGTGATAATCTCACCGTGTAGGCGCTGGTCCATTTTGTCTTTCTGGTTCTCTAGCAGTATTTACTTAAGATACAGAACGTATACTCGTGGACCTTTACCATCAACAGTGAGTCCTCTGGATCACAGCCTGGCGCCTGGGTTGTTGTTCTATGTCTTACCCTCTCTTCAGTGCCTGAGGCAAGATTAAGGGATGAGAATAAAGAGCCCAGATCATTCAATTTGTGACCAAAATGTTCCTTCGGTAATATTACTGATGGTCGACAATTTACAAGGGCTGCCAAGTATTAGTAAATCCACTATTATATATCTTCCAATGTCGTTCAATTACATGATCATGTCCTTGTTTGAATAAGTGAAGAGGGATATTAAGCTATTATTCCCTTTCATGTAATTGATTCACTTTTGTTCTTTCGGAACTTCCAAAGATTAGTTAACCTATGTACGAATATATACAAGGAATAAGACAGCCGAGTTATCGTCAGTAATATTGCAGTATAATTCCTGATTATCTGTCTGTCTGTTGTCGTTATGATATCAGTACTTATTCATACTGTATTGTTTGTTTATTAAGGTACAGTTCGTTCATTTCCAATAACTTAACATTTTGAATTTAAATGACTTTCAATTGTTGGTAGCATGTACTGTTTTATGAATGCAAACTGAAAAGTATTTATGCAAATATAGAACCCGTCGAGTTTGAATGGATTAAACTCTTGTTAAAGAGGTACCTGTTTAAGAATTATTGATCTTATTCAGGCTAGCCAGCATTTCTATTGTCATCGGTAATACAATAATTTGTTTGGCAAATACCCTTACGTTTATCAGTGGTTTCCAAGTCCCAAAGCCATTTATCTCCCACAATGCATTAGGGGAACAAAGCAGGTCGAATTGTAAATCAAGATTCTTGGCTATTTCTGTACGATAGTTGCAAAAATTATACTTTAAAAAATATGAACTTTCTGAAAATTGATATATTTCATTACTTATGTTTTGCAAGCTCTCATACATTATCTCTCGCAGAATGCAAATGCATTTTTTGAAATGTCCAATATTTAATCTAATTGTAATTTTAAGGAGCCTCCTAATATTTATAATCCATGTTGATCCTCATCTCAAGTACTCGTAATCACAACATGTACTTAACCTGATATTCTTTATCAACCGTAATATGTTTTTGTATACATATGTAGTCATAATATTATCTCAATTTGACGTATGTTAACACAGTGCGGTTTTTTAAAAAAGGGGATTACCCTTTCAGACAGTTTTCTTACTTTTTATGTCGTAGGTCACTCTCTTCGAGAGCCATGTTAGATTTTGAAACTTATCAAAATCAAATAGCTTTTGCAGGAAGTAAGCCGTAGGATATCGACGTAACGTAACCAGCAACCGTTTAAATAGGTAATGCACAGCTTTTTATTAACGGGTAAAACATGTTTTTCAATTATTCACACAATGTGTTACAAATGCATGAACATCGAAATAATAATCAGGTCATCTTTCATGTCATGCAAACATATAGCACCATCTTGATTCAAAGATTGTGAATTTTGACTAAAGGAATGCACCAGTAGAACCAGAGCATAGGCCGATATAACATTGGTCAGTGACCAGTATTGTGACATGAATTATAAGTAAAATTATCCATTTTAATCAAGGAGTTGAGAGGGTTACTATTTTTATTACAATTACAATTGGGATACTAGAAGGGAATCTCCTGGACAAGATATGAAATATACAAGTTGTTAGAACCAAACTGTCACAATATTATTCGGATCCATGAGATCTGTCAACACTTGGATCAGATAGATATCTATAGGATATTGGATAACGTTAGTTAAACGTGCTTAGATTTTTCATTTCTTGGATCACTAATCAAGCAAATAATTTCATTGGCCAAAAAGATGGACGCAATAATTTAAAATTGATACAGTCGTTTTACTTAAGTCTCTTTATTTATCTAATTGCAAACACGATTTTAAATACATATTAAGCATTGCGTTTTCAATTAATTTCACTCACTCTAAATGGTTTGCAGATACTACTTTGAAATGTTACAAACATAAGTATACCAAGTATGGATCCGAACCACAAGAAGATACTGATCAAAAACAGAGTGGCGTTGATAGATTTAGACGTCAACGAAGAGTTCATCGGCAATCTTAAAGCAAATGGGGTTTTGTCAAGAAATATGGTAGAAGACATAGAGGTACTATTGAAAGATGATCAGTAATTTAGTTTCATTTTTTTGTCTTAACCAAAACCAAGTTTTACTTGACGTCTAGAGATAGTGTGACTATTGGTAATTGGCATCGTTTCAAATGCATCAATTTTCCAAAAGGAAAGATGAATTAAAAATTATGCATATAAACATAATAGATAGATATTTTTTTACAAGTTATGCGCTAAGGGCCACGCCCATTATTCAGCTATATGACAGGCAATGAGGTGGATGAATTTCATGCTCTCCAACAGAAAATATTCATCCTCACGCAATTTATAGCACTCGGAATTTTCTATTTTAAATCTGTTGAATTTTTATCAATTTAAAAGTGATAAATTTTTATTTAGTGAAAGAATCATTGCTCGATTATAGGTAGAACAACGGCGATCCAGAAAGGCCGGTGTGTTCTTAGATATTTTGGAACGAAGGGGTGAAAATGCATTCGATGAATTCTATGAAGCGCTTATAAAGACTGAACAAGGTCACCTAGCAGACATTCTGAAGCCGGATATGGCTGCATCACGGAAATCCGAACAACTTGCAAGAATTGCAGGCAATAAATCTGCATTACCACAATCAAATTCAACGGGACGCCATTTTCAGTCAAGCACGGTTCAGAGTATGAACGGACAACATATACATTACCCATCAGAGGATTTCAACGTCCGTTCTTCCATACCAGTTGAAGATGAGGAATTACCCAGTGGTAAGCATCAGACAGTATAGTACACCTTGTACACTACCTTTCAGTATACTAAACAAGGATAGTGTAGTCCAGAAACGCTAGAAGTCACACTTTAGTAACCATCTTTAATATGTTCCGCCACATTCACTTTTCAAATGGTATGATTCATTTGATTACGAAAATGCTGTTTGCTATAAACGTTTTTTTAGGATTATTGTATGTGTTTAGAATTGTATTGACAATTATATGAAGATGTCACGAGGCTATCGTATTTTCAGAGTGGCCACCCAAGAACTGGGATCCGTATAAAGAAATAGAACAAATGAAAGTCATGGGGCATCCGTCTGACTGGCCGACGAAAGTTCACGATCGTTTTGTTGGAAATAGTAAAGAGGTAATCGTTTACGAATCTCTGGGTACCAATTTTTACGATCAAATCAAATTATAACATATTCAAAGAAGACACCCGCCATGGTGAAGATTCAATAGACCAAATTAAGAATTAAAGTGCCCGATAAACTATAAAATGCGCATGCGTCCAGGTGTTGATAAACTATAAATAGCGAAAATCCAGGGTTTGTCATCACAAGGTAAGCCAGGACGTGTTGAGAGAACAGCTAGTGTTGATATTGAATTTATATGTAGCCAGATAAACTTCCTTATTGAAATTACATATGGTTATTAGCAATACTTTGTAGGTGCTAAATAATAAAATATTTAGAGTATATATGAGAAAAATTGGTCATTTCGAACCTGTTGAAAAGTTTGTGGCTCTCGGCTACACCGGGGAATTTACTTCCATGAGTACACACATAAATGTGGGGTTCCCCAAGAGGTACGCGACAAGGTGACCTGGCATCAAATGTGCTACTAAATGCTACTATCGAGAAGATAAAATAACGAATACGACAATAAGTTATAATTGCATGTGACAATTCCGAGCCTTCATCTCACTGAAGTATTTTGAAGTGAAAATAGGATTTTTGTTTTGATACATGGATTCAGATGAACGTAACTTTATTCTGACAACTAATCAAAACTGAACAAAATTGATTGTACGTAACAGACAATTTATTGTTTTACAATGTTCTGATTGGCTAAACGAATGAAACCAACAAATTATGACATGTAAAATGACAATTTTGAAATGTAAAATTTAAAAGTGACAAACACAACCTCCCTATCCACTCTTTGAGAGCCCTAGTAAATTAATAATATGTACATGCAGCAGTGGTCACTGGCATGTAGCGATTATAGCGGTCCTGTCTTGGCTTATTGAATTGTTACGAAGTTACGTATGCGGTGCGGAAGTTAGAGAGCAAATGACCATCATTTCAATGTAATAGTTTATGCAGGAAAATTGAGATTAGGCCATTGGAGTATTTGTTTCATGCATTTGTAAAACGTTGCCCACTCATAGGTCATACTTATCGTTAAACCAATAACTCAAATATATGCCCTTGTACACCGATCACCTGTTGAAATTAATACAGGCCGATTTCAACAAATGTAAACGGCGATATATTTAAAATCGTATTCAAGCATGACCACGTCCCAACTTCTTTTGTTTTCTTTACAACTAAGCTATGACTGCAGTCTATTCAGTGTTGCGTATCGAACCTTGTTTATTATAAAAATAGTGCAACAACAAGCAGAATTCACACATTTACCTTATACTTATTCTCAACTGAAGACATTGAATTTATCTCTTAGGTTTTACATTATAAATATCTTAACATGCAGAATACGAAAATAGAGGCTTAGGCCCAACTTTGTATGAATTTTATGAGAATAATCTGATTTTAGAGAAATGAAAAGAAAAATGTCCACACCCTACACAAAATATTTATGGTTCCCCGGGAATACGTATGTGCTGCTTGTATATTAGAATCATATTCCAGTTACAGAAAGAAGTACATATCATGCTAAACTATATACAACAGTTATGCACTTGGAGGTTTTGGATAAAATAACCATAACCCCTATATATTGGCCAAGGGATAATCCCAATATCCTGACTATAGGATATGTTTATCCCATACCAATCTTGGTCATCTGGTTCACATTGTTAAATCGTGGAAATATTTTAGAATATTCATGTCCAGTTTTGTTTTCTTGGCCGTGGGCGGATTTTCATGTTCTCTCAAATATTCCCATATTTATTTTCTCGAATTTTTTATTGATAAAGTGGATGCTCTTTCCCTTTTTTTAACTACAGACCCTGATTGTCTGTGTTTTCTCCATTGCCGTTTACAGTCATTCCGCGAACGTTACAAATTATGAACAAATATGCAAGCGGCGATTATGACGTAGCGGGCAGATATACTATATCTGCCCGCTTGGAGCGGGACGTAAAGCTTTATCCCATGGTTGCAAGGAGGATATACGAGGGGTGATCAATAAGTAATGGACGCTTTTTTACACAGATACTTTTTATTGACCAATCCCTTTGATTTTCCTACCAGTGATACATCATTCAATTATCTATCAATTCTGAAGATTTGAAGACAAAATATATAATACATGTTGATATATCCTTATTTCCGTGAAGGAGGTACAGGTACCCCGGGACCGACATTTACGTCACATATTCAGTTTTTAGCCAGTTTGGTAGATTTGAACTTTTTATATGCAACAAGTGTTGTATTGGTTGAATTTTTTTGCTGACTGGTAACACATAAACAGAAAGTATTGTAATGTCAGAGTGTTGTATGGAAGGGGTTTGCAGGTCAATTTGAGAAAGCATTGTGGAAGAAAGGGGTGGTGAGAGAAGGGAAAACCCTACTCCATATGGTCAATGCATCTGCCCATAGATCTCAAAATGTTCAGAAAACAATATCCCTGGACCTCAAAATTGAGCCCTTGGCCAATGCACTATATTGCCCAGATCTGCTCACATGTGACTTGTTTATTTCTATATACTACTTATTTCTATAGAGAAAGAGAGGTTTGAGACATATAGAGACGCAGGTTTATTAACATTGATTAAATAAAACAACCCATGCAACTGTATCTTGCAACCATGTCAGATAATGGATTCAGCCTTGTCTTACAATCTTGAGTTAAGAGGATGAGGAATTGTGTACATGTAGCACTTGATGGAACCTATTTAGAGGGCCCTGTGGAATAAATGTGGCATGAATACCACATAGTGATGATAAAATATTCAAAATCAACTATGGCATAACAAAATGGGGTAATTCATGACCATAATGGTTTGTTTTGTTCAGCCTGCATTCAACTGCATTGCATGTTAAACACGCTAAAATATCTTCAGAATATGTGACGTTAATGTCGGTCCCGGGGTACCCGTACCTCCTTCACAGAAATGAGGATATATCAACATGTATTATAAATTTTGTCTTCAAATCTTCAGAGTTGATAGATAATTGAATGATGAATCACTGGTAAGAAAATCGAAGGGATTGGTCTATAAAAAGCATCTGTGTAAAAAAGCGTCCATTACTTATTGATCACCCCTCGTAGATCGAATATCACATGATGATATATTTGATATGTGGATCAAGATATCATATTTTAGCAAACAATTTACAAACCATCGAATATCACTTTTAAACTATCGAATATCACATCTTAAATAGAGGATATCCAGTGATTTATGAGTGATATGATTTTTATCCACGAATGGATATGATATCTGCACGAGTGAGCGTAGCGAGAGAGTGCAGATATCAACATCCATGAGTGGATTAAAATCATATCACGAGTAAATCATAGGATGTTCTTTATATTCCATAGTTAAAGTCATCATCAGAATCTTCGGGAATTAAGTGATTTAAAACGAATTTTCCAAACGATACGGCAATATTGACACTTAGCCTCGTTTTGAGTCTGAAGTAGCAAAAATCCATAAACCATGGCATACGGCGCCGCATGTCATGGCTAAAACACCGTATGCTATGGTTAAGTGAAAATTTGCCAAAAATATCATATTTTACCACTGATTTCAAAAATACCGTTTTTATTTTGACATGTTATCCTATGGATATCATGCTAACTATGGAATAATATAGGAATATCCTATGGCTCTGAAAAAATATCACTTATATCCATGAGTGGATATTGATATCTTGGCGAGTGAGCGCAGCGAATGAGTGAAGATACTGATATCCATGAGTGGATATAAGTGATATTTTTGAAAAACTATAGGATTGTCCGTTTATCCCATTGGGAATTATTATCCAGCGAACATTGAATAATCAGATAAATTGCAATGGAAATTCCATTTCGTCTGACATTTTGATTGCGATAATTCAACGAACGTCATATACGTGACGTAACAGAGTGGTTTGTATTTAATGCGAACGCCGTAAAAACAAGATCCCAAAAAATAAAAATATATAATAAATATATAATTCAATTCAATTCAATTCAATTTATTTCATAATTCTTATATAATATACACTATAAAAACAAGCCGCTAGACACCCTAGTGGGTATATGTTGCGGTCTAACAGAAATCATTAAAATGACATCTAGACTACATATAAAAGAAAATACTTATATTATGTTACATGTAGGTATATAAAAATGGTATTAACAATTAATCTAAGGATGTACAATGTAAAAATGTTACAAAAATCAGGTATCAGTATAAAATCAACAGTATAGTATGATATTGGTATTATACATTATCGATAGATGAGTAGTTTTTTATATGAAGATTTGAAAATATTTAGAGTGGAGGGTTTTATAATATCATGGGGTAGAGCATTCCAAAGATTAGGACCTAGATAGCGAAGGGAAAGTTTAGAGCATTTAGGGATATGAAAATAATGCAATTGTCTTGTGTAATGATGATGAATATTAATGTTGATATCAAACAAGTCTTGAATAGATTTTTTGGAAGACTGGGGTGCTTATTAAAGATTTTGTACATGAACTGACCAGTACAATATCTGTTGACATCAAAAATATTTAATATGTTAAGATCTTTAAATAAGGGAGCGGAGTGAGAAAGTCTATCCTTATTTAAAGCTAGTCTTAAGAATTGTTTCTGCAGTTTATGTAGACGATCATAAAATGATTTAAATGTGTTACCCCAGATTATGTTGCAATAATTTAATTAAGAGTGTATCAATGAGTAGTAAATTGTTTTGAAACTGTCTATTTGAAGTAGATGTTTAATGTGATAAAGAGAACCAATGACGCGAGAAATCTTTGTTTCAATAGATTTTATGTGCTCTTTAAATTTCAAGTTTTTATCAATAATAATTCCAAGAAAGTCAATTTTATCCCGGAAATTTATGTTCTCATTGCGTATTTTGAGATTCAGATTTGTTTGATTTTTTTGGGTCCAAATAGAATAGCATTGGTTTTGCCAATATTAAGTAAAAGTTTGTTTGCTTTTATCCAGTCATCTATTGAATTCAA